AAGGGCATACGCAGACAGCGGACTTATTAGAAAGCTCATGTTAATGAAAAAACTAATGAACTGTCGATATATTGATAATATGGAAACTTATGTTAATGAGATTATGTCGACACACCAACAATTAGAACAAATAAACCACAAAGTAGATGATTCGTTTGTTGCAATTATACTGCTTTGTAGTCTACCCGATCAATTTAAGCCACTCGTCATGGCATTGGAACATTCTGGCACTGAACTAACATCAGACAATGTCATTGCTGCACTTATGAAAGAAGACAGCCGAGATCTAGCCACCTGCAGTAAAACACCTGAAGATAGTGCTTTAGTGTTGTCTTACAACAAATTTAATAGAGACACTAAGAACATATTTTGTAATTACTGCCGTAAACCAGGGCATATAAAACCAAATTGTAGAATTCTTAAAGCTAAATCCAAAGATGAAAAGGCCGAAATTTGCGAGGTAACACTTGTGGTTGATGATCAGTCCGTGACTAATTCTAATTTTGATAATTTGGAGATTAGTGAAACTTTTGTAAACTCTTTTATGTGTAAACCAATTTTTGATAAGTCGCTTCTTGCAAAGAGTGATAACTGGTTTATAGATTCCGGGGCTACAAGTCATATGACTAATAGACGTGATTGGCTACATGATACTAAACCTGTCACGAAAAGTATTAGAATAGCTAATGATCAAATAATTCTTTCAGATGCCATTGGTACTGTAAAACTAAACACTTCCAATATTACCGATGTTTTGCATGTTCCGAACCTCTCAACGAACCTGCTTTCAGTGAACTCATTGGTAAAGAAAGGGAATGTCGTACTTTTTTCGAAATCTGGAGGAAAAATTATTGATGGAGAAACGTGTAAGGTATTCGGAAAAGTTTTATGCACAGCCTCAAATATCAATGGTATGTACAAACTTGATTTACCTACTGCTCACGCGAATTTAACAGAAGTTAAAGAAAATTCAGCTGAATTATGGCACAAACGCCTTGGTCATCTGAACTTCAGATCTATGGAATTGCTTAGAAAAAACTTAGCTCTTGGTGTCAGGTATCCAAAGCCTGCTGGATCTATTAAAGATAATTGCATTGCTTGCGTGGAAGGTAAATTATCAAAGCAACCTTTCAAAACGTCAGATTCAAAATCGACAAATTTGTTGGAAATTATTCACAGTGACGTTTGCGGATTTATGAGTACCCAATCTTTGGGAGGTGCTTCATATTTCGTGACTTTCACTGACGATTTTTCTAGAAAAACATTTACCTACCTAATTAAACAAAAATCAGAAGTTGTGGAAAAATTTCGCGAATTCAAAAGCTTAGCCGAGAACCAAACTGACAAAAAGATTAAAATTCTACGTTCTGACAACGGTGGTGAATATTTGAATTCGGAAATGAAAGAAATTTTGAAACAGTCCGGTATAGTTCACCAAACGACAAGCTTATCGCTATTATTACAGGTAATCCCAATACAACAGCGTAGCCACATTATCTAAATACAATTATACTTAATCCCCATCACCATAACATAACACAAATTGAGCTACTTTAGTGAATTCACACAGGGTACAAACAAAAAGATCGATTTCTACAGATACCTTATTCAGAATCCGTATAGCTCGCGTCAGTGGGGCTTCATTTAGCAGGTTTGTCCTCCCGTGAGGCACTACAAATAACTTTGGTTGACGCCGTCGCTCCACATACCTATCCGGAACACTTAGACCCACCCGGCCCAGAATCAACGCATTGCTAATTTTGCCTCTTAATAATTTAAAAATATATGTTACCATTGCCAATCCTCTTCTTACTTTCAGTTCAGTGTATCCGACCATACCAATGACGAACAGGGTGGGATACATAAGTGGATAAAACGGATAAATCCCGTATACTTTCAGGTACAAATATCTTAAAAATTTATTTTGAATCCGTTCTAACATCATACTGTATTTCATTTCATTAGGTGCCCAAATAATAGCATTACACTCGAGCTGACTTCTTACTAGTGCATTGTATAATGCTATTACTGACTTTATATTTGTAAATTCTTTACTATTACGAATAACGAATCCTAAGTTTTTATACGCTTTACTACAAATACTTATTATGTGGGCATGAAATTTAAAGTCAGCCGTAAAGCGAACTCCCAAGTCCTTTACCTCCGACACCCTTTTCAATGTTATCGAATTTATATTGTAATCATAGCAAACAGCATTACATTTTCGAGTGTAAGATATCGTAACACATTTAGATATATTGAACTTCAGCTTATTTTGTTCACTCCATATTACCACCCTGTCTATATCATTTTGTAATGATATACAGTCTGCCATGCTTTTTATCGGAAGGAAAAGCTTCAGGTCGTCAGCAAATAAAAGGCATTGTGCCTTTTCAATTACCCTCGGCAGATCATTAATCATAATCACAAACTGAAGTGGCCCAAGATTACTACCCTGACTCACTCCTGACCAGACATAATATTCATCAGACCGGCAACCATCGTACTCCACATATTGTTGTCTATCCCTCATGTAACTGCTGAAAAATTTTAACAAATGAGGTGTAAATCCAAACTCCGCCAATTTTCGAAGCAAAATGTCATTATCCACGACATCAAACGCTTTTTGGAAGTCAAAATAGGCCAGTGTTACTGAAATTTCGGATAGTACAAACAATCAAGTTTCTCAACCTGTTAGGAGATATCCATTGAGAAACAGAATCCCGAAAAAGTGGTCAGAAGATATAGTTCTCTACAAAGCTGAAGAAGATGATATCCCTTCAACCTTTAAGGAAGCCATTAGTTCTGATGATAAAAATAAATGGCAAGAGGCTCTTCAAAGTGAATATGACTCACTTGTAACTAACAAAACTTGGGTCCTTGTGGATAGACCTAAAAATAGAAAAATAGTCCGTTGTAAATGGGTATTCAAGATAATGAAAAATGAAAACGGAGAAAACATACGCTATAAGGCACGATTAGTAGCCAAAGGTTTTACACAAACCTCCGGCGTAGATTATGACGAAACATTCGCACCCGTTTCACGCCTTTCAACGGTTAGATTACTACTTGCTTTCGCAGCACAATGGAATATAATAATGGATCAAATGGATGTTGAAACTGCTTTTCTCAACGGTGATCTAAATGAAGAAATATATATGGAACAACCTGAGGGTTTCACTAAAGAATGCAACAAGGGGAAGGTATGCCAGTTAAAGAAAGCACTTTACGGTTTAAAACAAGCGCCTAGACAGTGGAACCTTAAACTTAACGAAGCAATGATGCAACTTGGAATGAAAAGGTCTGAACATGATCATTGCCTATATTATAAAGTTAATGAAACTTGCATGTTAATTGTTGCAATCTTTGTTGATGATTTTTGCATTCTCAGTAATAATGCTGATATGAAAGAAAACTTTAAAAGGGATATTAAACAATTTTTTAAGGTCAAGGATTTAGGAAACTTAAAACATTTCTTAGGAATGAGAATCGCAAAAGAGGAAAATGGTATAGCCATTGATCAAGAAGAATATATTAAAAAGGTACTAGATAATTTTGCTATGACTGATGCAAAACCGGCTAGTACACCTGCTGATCCTAATTTAAAGTTAGTGAATCCTTCAAATGAAGATAAAGAAGCAGCTCAACATTTGCCTTATCAAAGACTGGTTGGTTCTCTGATGTATCTATCTGTAGGAACTAGGCCAGACATTACACATGCAGTAAGTGTGTTAAGCCAGTTTAATTCTAATTATGGGACAATTCACTGGAATGCAGCAAAAAGAGTTCTACGATATTTAAAAGGGACAATGCATCTTAAACTCCGATTCCAGAAGAAAAATATACTCACTCTTACGGGCTATACTGATGCTGATTATGGTGCATGTTTAAAAGACCGGAAATCCTACACTGGATATGTATTTTATTTAAATGGACCTATATCATGGGAATCACGTAAACAACGAACGGTCGCCTTGTCAACAACCGAAGCCGAATATATGGCACTTAGTGATGCTGCAAAAGAATCCATATATCTCAAAAACATATTGAAGGAAGTGTTTGGTTTGGATAATGGTGTCTGTATTTATAGTGATAATCAGGGAGCTCAACTGCTAACAAAAAATAACGTTCATCACTCACGAACAAAGCACATTGATGTTAGACATCATTTTATTAGGGATACTGTTGCTAGTGGTATTATTGGTATACAATATATTCCGACAAATGAAATGAAGGCAGATGTCTTAACCAAGTTTCTATCGAAGCAAAGACATCAGTGTTTAACGAAAGGATTAGGTTTAATTTAACATTTATAATGGCCTATTAATTTATTCAGAAGTAGGGGAAGTGTTGGAACTATTTAGTTTACACACCAACCTTCTTTCATATATCTTTTGATAGGCCACTTTGTTTTTTCTCTTTATATTCTTTGTCATTGTCAGTTGTTTTTTTTTTTCTGTTTAAAATATTTATCAAAAAATACATAAGTCTTTTTATCTTACATATTATTATTTTATTTGGAGTTGAGAGAATACCTCTTGTGAAACTAAAAAACTTAGGTTATTTAGAATAAGCAGTAGAAATTTTCTACTTTTTTCAAATCAGAAACCGGCTGTTAGTCTGTAAATCGATTTAAGCATTTTGACTGCCTTGTTTATTCATTGTCTGGTATAATTTGCATGAAAGCAGTCTTATAAATCACAAACTAGTTTATTTCGTTTTTAGAAATGAAGAAGTCAATGACCGATTTAAAACTTTTCCTTAGTACGTCCCAAAAACAGCTGACTCAGAGTTGAAAACACTCATTTTTTTTCAAATACTTTGTAATTTAATATCTCCGAAACTATTTGACGTAGACTTATAATTTTTTTACATCATATTAAAGACAAATAGTACTCTCCAGGGAACCTCGGGAGTGTCTAGTTCTGTTCCACCGAGTATTCGATATATCGTTGCATCTCTCATTATTGAGGGCATCCGTCTGTCGCCATCTAACCTAAGATTTGGCTGTATGGCTTAGTTCCTTCGCCTGTCCCATGGACGAATTATAATATTACCACTACTGTCGCCATTTTGACTTGTGTGGTTTAGTTTGATCGCAAGAAAATTGATTTTTTGGCTCTTCGTGTCAGTCAGAGATATTGTGAACGTGAATTGTTTTTCTTACTTCAAATGCTGTAAAAGATAATTTCAGTGAATTGAATCGGCTAGGGATCGAGTGCACCATCATGTCTGCTCATGAGCAAATTAGGGCAATGTTGGATCAATTGATGGGAACTGCACGAAACGGTTAGTCGCTAAAAGTATATCCTTCTCAAGCTGTTTTCTGAGCGATTTTGTAAAAATTCGAATTCGAAATAACTCATTGTCCGAAGTCACTTACTTTAGTGAAAAACGGAATCGATAGAATGATTCCGTTTTCTGTATAAAAATACAAAACAAAACGATTGCTGCAACGTGTTTCAGATATTCCATTCCCATGTCATTTTGAAACTCACTCCCCGAAACGTTATAACCAATTCAAGATTGAGCGTATTCCACTTCATGAAGTAAATCTGATGACTTTTGGATTTTTACAGAATCGTAAGTCTGCAGTCTGCAGAATTTTCCATGTACTTACATATAAAAATATGTTGTGATTTCCTCTATTTTACAGGCGAGTCGGACAGGCATGGAGTGAAATTTTACGATGACTCGGTCTGCAAATCGTTTTTGTTGCAATGTTGTCCCCATGAAATTTTATCATCTACGGTAAGTAAACTTTTAAAATCAACACTCCATTGATCTGAGATTTCATTTAATGTATTCCATTTGTATAAATATTAATTACCTATAATTTTTATTTTGTTTACGACTTAATACTGTGGAAGACGTTATGATTTCTCAGAATTAAATTAATGAATTTTTCCCTGTATCATGTACATTAGGTCAACAAATAACGATAGCTTTAAAATTATCAATTTTTTAATTTGCTTTATATTTATTGAAAGCTGTTATTTGGGTGTTATATTACCTGGCATAGGGTTGCTAACCATCCTGTTTTCTCAGGACTTGTCTTGGATAGAACTAGGGTTATCAAAGTGCCTGATAAGGTTTTATTATGAATTTTATAATTATGTGGCACTTACTACTCACACAAATTAACATGACACCTGACACCTATTTCTTTTGAAAAAATATTTTCATAAATTTTCAAACAGAGGTAGGACCTGACACTGCTTCTAAGGCACTGACAATGATACTATTATTTAAAATTTTCTGAATTTTCATTGGACTACAAGATGTCATGTTAATTGATACAAGTAATAATTGTTATGTTCACAGCAACTCATGAGTGCTTGCACTGTGAGATAAGATGGGATGTTTTTTGATGCCATTTATTTTACCATTATCTTAGCATCCTGTTTTGAAACAGATTTGATGTGACTTTCAACTTCATATACTAGTTTTTGAATAAATTTTCAAGTTGACAACCCTAATCTAGCAAATTATATTGGAATATGATTGAACTAACAATATGTTTTTACATATATGTATTTACAAAAAATAATATGATTGTTATCAGGAGTATGTCTATATTGGTACTAAACTATATTCATTTCATTAGTAATATTTGTCACTTACACCAATAATGTAAAATAGCTTTGGGTTTATAGTGTCCATCACTTGATAATAAGATAAGATATTAAACCCACCTGAGTTTGTGTTTATTATTGTGTGTGTTTAATTCTAATACTCTCCAGGGGTGGTTACTTGGTTGACCTTTCATTTTTTATTTCTTTAGATTCAAGCTAGATAAATATTTATCACAATTTCTTTGTATTGTTAACCTAATGTACAGGATTTTTTATTTTTCTTTCAAATCATGTTTTACTGTAGTATCACTGAAACAATTTCATCGGAGTGGCATTAACTGTGGTGAAATATGCTTTTCAGAAAATGCCCCACACTAGTCTTTATTGCTCATCACAATACTTAACCGATGAGGGATAGATTGTATGAGTTAGGCTGTTCTGTAAGTACCAAGATGTACGTATAAAATATTTCTAGTTAGCTGATTGTATTATTACTGCTATGCAGACTTTTAATAAGGCACATAAATTATTTAATATTCATCGGTTTACTAATGCTGCTTCGGTGAGTACCGTGAAATTTTAGGAACACAATAACTTAAGTCGGGTGAGAGGTTTTCGGTGATTCATTCTTACTACATTGGGTACGTACTGTGCTGTTTACATGGCTAGAAATTCTAAAAATATAGTCAATGCATGAGAAAATACTTCCAAATTAATCTTATCACTGTTACTGAGCATAAATATAAAATGATGGTTGTTTAAATATAAATTTCCTACGTTGTAAATTGTACCAAAAATATTGGCATAATTTATAGATGCCGTAGGTATGCTATATACGACTATTATGAGGGTATATGCCCTGAAAGATATATCAGAATTGACAATGACACTGTTCTTAATTTTATACACATAAAGTTCTTTACAAATAGATTATTCTACTTTATTTGTATAAGTAATTGTAAATGTTTCAATTAATAAGCCACTAAAAATATTTCACCAAATAGCGTTTCACCTGAATGGACTTTTATTTGTCTTTGTAAATCAATTGCCTTACAGACTATATAAAGTATACTAGTGTAAAGAGAAAAACTATGTTATGTTTAATGTGACGATAATAGCTATTCTAAACCAGGGTCAAATATTAAATATTTATTTCCTAAAAGAAAACTCATTGTGCTCTGCATATTAAGTTCTTGAAATTTAAACCGAATGTATTAATTTGTAATATATGAACTAGAAGTTTATAGAGGTAGTTTCCCTGTTTCTTGTGAAACAAAAAACTCTTTAACCATTCACATAATAATAATTATCTCATATAAAATTATTAAGGCCCCTGCTAGATATTGAATATGAATTCTGTCAATAAATTGCGAAAAACTATACAGTACTTGATTTAAAAAGAATTAAGAACTGTAAAACACATTGTTCTTACAATCGTATTTGAATAGAACTAATACTTTATACATAATTATATCACCCTGAAGATTTAATTATCAACGTGAAGCTATTTATGAGGTGTGTACTCTGTAATTTGTAAGTATTCATAAAAATTACGTAAATGGCGGATGACCCTGGGCTGCGTGTGCTGTGTTGGTGATATTGTATGTATTTTATTAAAAACAATTGGTTTATAAAATAATGGGTTACTGTCTATTATTTCCAATTATCTTATCCTCTCTTTAGAACACATTCATTAAACTTCTGTAAATGATTATACACTGGGTATTCAATTTAAAGTTGATTAAAACAAACTTGTCCCCGAAACACATTGAACTCTATTATAACATTTATTATTTAGTGTTTATAATTTTTTTTGCAGCGTATGGATTTAGGTGAGTGTCCAAAAATACATGATCTGGCCCTGCGTGCAGATTATGAGTTAGCCTCCAAAACCAAAGACTATTTTTATGACATTGATGTGAGTATTACTTTATTTAATTTAATTTTTATGATCAAAATATTCTCTATTAAGTATGTAATTATAAAGAATATTTTCTGTAAATGACTGCTAATATTTTAATATGGCTAATACTCTACAATTATATATTGATAGGCGACAGAGCATTTAGAGGCTTTTATAGCGGATTGTGATCGACGCACCACTGCAGCTAAACAACGTCTCGCTGAAACACAAGAAGAGTTATCAGCTGAAGTTACAGAGAAAGCAAATGCTGTCCATGAACTTGCAGAACAGATTGGACAAAAGCTTGCGAGAGCTGAAGCTTTGGGTGAGGAAGGAATGGTGGAAGAAAGTGTTAATCTGATGGGAGAGGTAAGTTCCATAGACCCATATGGTCTATGGGTCTATATTTTAACACATGTTGCCATAACTACCTTAGATAAAAATCAATATATGTTTCAAAAATAGTTTGTGATAAAGTCATGAAGATATTTGATAGATTGATCGTGAGAGCTGCACAGCATAATATCAGCATCACTGCGTCATAGTATAAGGGACAACTGTAAGATTTTAAAATTTGTTTTTATGGTCTGTGTGAGAATATTTAGCTATTTATTTATATTATAATAATATTTTTATACCTTCTAGATTGATGAATTACGAAAAAAGAAAGCTGTTGCTGAGCAAGAGTACCGTAATTCGATGCCTGCATCATCTTACCAACAGCAGAAATTACGCGTCTGTGAAGTTTGCTCAGCATACTTGGGTATCCATGACAATGACAGACGTCTGGCTGATCACTTTGGTGGGAAGTTACATCTTGGATTTATTACTATTCGAGAAAAATTGGCTGAATTAAAGGTTTGAAAAATTACTATCTTTATTTTGAGTAATAATTATTTTGAGAAAAATCTATAAAAGAAATATGAAATTAATGGTTATATTTGCTAATATATTTGAAGCTCCTTATTCGCGGAGGAAACATTCCTTAAATATAGAATAATAGGGGATACATTCAAAAGTTCCTAAATAAAAGCAATATGTATGTCAAAATAAATAGAAATGAGCTAAGCTTCTTGAAGAAGTACCAATTAAAATCAATCTTTATTATCATCTTTAAATAACGATTTTTTAAAATTTTATTCATTATCTTTTTTCCATTTTTTAAAGATCTTTAATTTCAGATTCATAACTAAGTAACTAGCATTCCTAATGTAGCTTTAAAAAAGTATTTCATGAATGCTACAACAAAGCAAAAATTATAAGGCGTTGTAAAAGATATGCCCGAATGCCCGAAGTATTTAAAAAAGATGGTGATGCGTCATTAAACGACGCTGAATTCCTTTATGTTACCGATTGCATCCGCGAATACGCAGATTTTAGCCGCCAGTACAGAAATTCGATTACAATGTTTTCAACCGCGAATAATGAAGCCGTGAAGGGAGCTTATACTGTAATTTACGTTTGTTGTATATTAATATATGTAATGATAATTTGCTATGAAAGTTGACTAGAATTTAGATATCATTAGATCAACTTGTTTCGAGACATATATGAGGAATAATAATTGAAATATAATATGTTGGTTTCTGCCGATAAATAGCGTGATTCTTCTCAATAAAAAATAAATAAATTTATAACTTTTTATTTTAGAAAACTGTGGATAAACGTCGCGAAGAGCGTGGCGCTTCGGAACGTGAACGCGGTAGCGGTCGGCGGCATTACGTTGGAGGGAGGGAGCTGGATAGACGCGCGCGCCGCCACCGCGAGTCCGCCAGAGACCGCGACCGCGGTAAAGATTCTGATCGCGATCGTGGCAAAGATAAGGAACGTGACCGCGAACGAGATCGCGAAAGGAGGTAAAGACTAATATTTGTCGCAGTGAAGTTTTTCGTTTATAAGTAATATACCTAACCTAACTAAAAATCTTAATTGTTAACCTACTATAATTTTAATTTTGTTGTTTTTAGTTGTCGTCTGTTTTTTCTTTTGTTTTATTATCTTTAAGTGGAAAATTATAGCAATTGGCCTTCTTTATAGATAAAATAAATATTCCATACATAGTTATTACGTAGCTGTAAGTTTTCCGATGATAATAAAAATGGAATAAAAAATAAAAATACTTTTATTGCGTATGAAACAGGACAATTAAATAACATTACATAAGAAAAAGATGTATAAAAAAGGTGACTTGACAGTGACAGTATTAACGACTGCAAATGCAGCCGGGACCAACCGCTTAACGTGCCTTCCGAAGCACGCAGTAGCTCGAGATAATAATTTTTTGGTTACTCATCCCGTGACCGTCCCTTGCGAAAGTTGCTTAACAACAACGATCGCGGGCCGCGGCGCTTATCCTCTACGCCACCGAGCAGCATACTCATATTCAATTGTAGTGCAATCGATAAATAGTGATTTCCATAGTAATCAATATTTTCCATCTAATAGGAAGAAAATAAATAGTAAAAGTTTTTAATAACAATAATTAATAATGTTTTTTACAATTTCCAACCAGACGTAGCCGTTCTCGGAGTCGCAGTAAACGTGAGGGTTCCCGCGAGCGCGAACGTTCTCGGGGTCGTGATCGCGATCGCGAGTCCCGTCGTAGCCGATCCCATCGCTCGGGCTCCCGAGAGCGCCGTCGTGACTAAGATGCCATCAAGCTAGATTATAATACTAGATGTTACGTTTGTATTCTGTTTCGTAAGCTGTCAAGTCTTTTATTATATCAACAATTTCTTTTTCTTTTCTTTCTTCTACAAGCTTCTCATTTCAGTGAATTATCACTTTCGACTGTTATTTTAATCTGCTAGAAGTATATTATTTGTTTCTATAAGTCTATGCAATAAGTGGTGTGATTTTTCTTTAGTCGTAATCTATTTGCTTTTAAGTGACATTGAAGGTAATATTTAATAGATATTATATAATATACATAATATTTATTATGTCAAGATTGAAAGTAGACACCAGTTTTTAATTTCCAAGTGACTTAAAATTTTTTGGGATAATAATAATTACCCATTTTATTCCCTGAACACATCCATATTACGTCTACTCTATTTAATGTGAATAAGCAATTTTAGTATAAAGGGTGTAGGATAGTATAAAAACATTATTAGAATTTAATGTTTTTTTTTCAATGTCTTATTCAGATCTTCATGCTTAATTAATAGCAATTTCCCATACTGAATTTACTGTAGAGATTTGTACGAAATAAGGAATATGTTTATAGTAATAGCACAATGACGTGTTAAATGTGCATGTGAATTATATAGGGGTATATAGTGCTATTTTTGTTATTTTAATAAATCGCAATGTTGAAAAAAGGCATTTTATTTTATATCTTTAGTTTAAAATCTCCTAAACCTATGAAAATTTAACTTGTATATAGTGGGCGGCAAACAAGTTTAACCAAATTGTAGGCGCAGGTATATTTATGGACTACATAACCTTGCTATGGTTACTTCGATTGATACCCGAATACATGGTACCGAGCATAATCCAATTTATATGCTGTGATCTGTACGAGACAAGGCCGTTATTTGAAGTTAATTAATTTGTATTAAAACAATTTGTTTAAGTAAGTTCAATCAGTATTAAATATGGGTATACAGTAATCCCGCTCTTCCTACCAAACGTTTTATTCGGAGGATCGGGAAAAAATAATCCGTTGCTCCGAGTACCAATCGAAGGATTAGGAATAACAAAAATCTTAGGATTCATTATAGTACAGGTAGTGGCATAAAATAAGACTACATTCAGATCATAATTTATTGTATCATTCATTACATGTTCTTTGTACAATATGCTTCTTATGCGAATAAGAGTTATTGGTCAAGAATATATAAACATTCAAATATTTTTTTTCACAATGCTCCTTGTAACAATAAGAACTATTTCGATGTTAAAATTATGTAGTGACCGAATATTCGGACGTACACAGACGTATGTACACAGTCAACAAAGCGTTAGGTTATATTATGTTAACCACTAGATTTTAAATTAAGGGTAGAACTGAAGAAAACCAATTGCGAAAGCTTGACATTTTTGGTATCTTGACATGGATCTGCCGTTTTTAGGTAATAGATAACACCCATCTTTCACTAAAAGGAACATAGTAAAAGATGGGTATTAGTGCATTTAATTAACATAATTTTTATAAGATGAGATGTTAAAATTCAAAGTATTGTGCCTTTTGTGTTTTCTACAAAGCTGACGTGGCGAGTCCCCACTCCTCGACTTTAATGCCTATTATCTAAGCCATTTCTTGTTAAATTGAAGAAAAAAGGTATCTAATATTTTTCTATTACCTGACAGATGGATTAAAATAGAATTCCTTTTTCTTAACCAAGTCATCATACTTGTGACAATATATCTATTATCTTAATACATGTTGCTTTGTGTTTAGTATAAATACTTACACTAGGAATATTTTAGGAGCAAAAGATGAACTAATCGCAACTGTGTAATCAAATTAGGAACATTTTCTATTTTAGTAAATAAACCATTATGGCATAGGTTTTAGAACATAATATCTCTTCGAATATATCTATATAACAAATTAATATAACTACTTATTATGATTTATTATGAAATGCTTGTTTTACTCGTACCTACGTTGTATTCGCAGATTTAGTGTTTTAATATTATGACAGTCTATGAAGCAGGGATGTTATAGATATCTCATTTTGGATTCGGATACGAAAATTTAAGAAATGTTATATCGGTTTTGGTTACGTATACGGAGTTTCCTAACATCCCTGCTATAAACTACTCCTATGATAGCAAAGAAAAAAACGAACAAAGTAGTTTCGTGATTTCTTGAGTTGGACAATAAAGGTTTATAATCATTCTTCATTACAAGAAAGAGATAAAAACATTAGGAAAGTCAATATGATAGATCGAGACAAATTATAAGATATTCGACAGAATATAACGCCAAAAATAATTATAAAACAAAAGATTTGTGTAAAAATATTGAAAACGTTCAGCAATATGGCTTTGCTTTGTTTACAAAATGGCATGAAAAGACGGTCTTCTCTTCTCGTTCTGCTTGTGCGCATTACAATCACCACATTGTAATGCGCACGATGTTGGTAGCGTAATAATAAGCATAGATTTAAGAAAAGTAATTGGTATCAAAAAGGCGCCGTTAAATTAATCGTCCAATTGAACGAACGTTTTAACCAGAGGCGGATCGTGAATTTGTGGGGCCTTGGGTTAATACTAACCAGGGGCCTATTAATTACTGAAGTGAATGTAATTTTGTTAGGATTTTTTTTTAACAGTACCTAATATAAAAGTATCGTATTTTATATTGTTTTATTGGGGGTTGATCGCCCTTTGTATCCTCGGGGCCCTGGGCTTAAATCCGTTAAGCCCTGAGGTAGAGCCCTGGTTTTAACCAGTTGGCTGCGACATATACATTTCAAATGAATATTTTTTTTACCTCATTTCCTTAGCAGGGAGCTATAATTTGATTACTATCAAGAATTTTTATAAATTAAATTTTAACTGTCAATGATACTATTTTACAAGATATTCTTAACAATAATAAATGAGATCGAAATAAGTACCCAACGAATAGTGATTTCTAAATAATCTAAATTAAATACATTATTATATGATATAAACAGCTCCCGGTTAGCATGATTATTTTATTGCGAGGTCTTCAATATATCATTTTTAACTTCAATCAAAACCTAAAAAATATATAATATACGCATACGTACCTAATAAATTGTTTTGTTCTTTTCATCGGTGAAAACTATGGATTTGGTAATATCAATCTGTTCTTATATTAGCAGTTTGCAGTAAAGTTATTAACATATAACTAATTATTAAAACACATTACAAGATAACTAAAAATATAAATCGTAAAATTATGGATACATTAGATTTTAAAGGCAATAAAGTTTTCGAAATATAATTATGCTCTGTTACATAGTGATTGTTAATTTAAATGTACTAAAACAAATAGTTTTTCATAGTAACATATAAAATTTGTTATCTAACAATAAATTTATAGTTACAATGTGCTGTTACGTAAATTTGATGTGTTCACTACTAGTAGGAATTTAGTTTTCAAAAGTTATTAAAATTTTAAAATCTTACAAATTGCAAGTCGTGTAACTTGCTATAAACAACTCAGGCAATACATATAAGATAAGAAAGCTACTGTGAAATATGTTACGTCCATTTCTAAAAGTCGAATTGACCGGAATCGGAAACATCAATATCTAAAATTTGTGGTTCAAACAAAAGATATTAAAAAGAAATACGAAGAGCTGAAAATTATTTATTTTTGATAAATATTATAGACAATTTGAATGAATATGAGAAATTTTTTAACGCACGTAGTGCATTAAGTTTGATTCAAGAACTTACGGTAATTCCTAATTTACGGTATAAATAAGGAAAATTATCAACATAATGTACTATTTGTACAATAAACTATTAATTATATAGATTTGTGACTTGCTAAATATTTCGGCCGCTCTGTAAAGTTTCTCATTCAAGATGCATGAAAAATGCAATTGAGAATAGAACGCAATCAGAGACTTGACCAATTACATTTTTAGAATTATTAATCTATCGTCAAGAGTAAAAACGCTCATAACACATATAAGAACTATTATGGCCTATATTTTTGTGTTTTTTGAGTGCAGTTTTTTTAGAATTATTAATCTATCGTCAAGAGTTAAAACACTCATAACATATATAAGAGCTATTATGGCCTATATTTTTGTGTTTTTTGAGTGCAGTTTTTTGTATGTATTTTTGTTTTGCGTAGTTTTCTTCACAAAAAAATGGTCATGCCTAATTCACTTTTGATCCAGGATTGGATTTTGTCATTAAACATATTATTGCATACTTAAAGCACACATTAATACCACTGAGAATTTATAATGTCTATGACAAGTAATTACCATTTGTAATTACTCAAATTCAACTAAGTACGTATCTATACGATTTTTCTATCTATAAGATTGGGTCCACATGTTTAGTTCCCAAAACTGGGTTTCAAATTAATTCTTCCCGTTTCTATATCCTTAGGACTAATATGTTGCATATTATTCCTTTCTTAAATAGACATCTTTTACGAAATCGCATTCTCTATTTGATTTTAATTTTGTGCAACTTTAATTTAAATCCTAGCATTTCCGAGAGCACCCCTGAAAGTGCGGAAAGAATAACTACCTTAGTTATTGTGTATAGATAGTGATTGGCACATATACCCGATATTTTAAACGGCGAATCCAGTTCCTGTAAAAGAAATAAAGCAATTTATTTAGTGCATTTTAAACGAGTACGTATAGCAAGTCAATTCTGCTGATACGTAATAATCGCATCTCAATAAAAACCCAAACGACTTGCATTTCAGCATTGTATTACAAAGGCAAAGTTAATTAGATAAAAATATTTTTCTTTTCTTAAGTTATTCATAAGTTAGGCATTAGCCATAAGTAATCGAAATCAGACTCAAACATCATGTTGACATGTGCTATTTATAAAAACTTCTTGAAAAAGTCATTTAAATATAATAGACGAAAAAAACTATTATGAACATCACTTCATACAAAATATTATTCGATCCTTATCTTTCAATTTATAAATTTATTGCGCCAGCGGGTTCGCCCGCGTGGTCTTGTATCATACATAAAAACTTTCCTTTTGAATCAACCGAAATCCGTTGTGTAGTTTTAAAGATTTAAGTATACATAGATACAGGGACAGAGAAAGCGACTTTGTTTAATATTATGTAGTGATAAAGCGTAGTATTGTTTTTAATTGACATGATCATAATCATTCAATTTTTTTTCTGGTAGTGTTTAATATACTATTACCGATAATTACACTTTTATACTTATTATGTTTATAATATTGCTTAAACTAAGTATGAAAAATCAAATATTTTATGCTCGTTGTCACGTGACCGCAAACAGCGTGTTATGTCACGCCTTTCTTACTCCTATCAGAATTTAGAGAATTCAACCTTATGCATACATATTCGATTCAGAGTGCAGTGATAGGGACTTCACGACAGAAGTCTGTTTTCGTGGGTAATATTGAAAAATAAATTTATTTTTAAAATTTAGCTTTATAAATGTTTTTTTTTATGTAAATAAAAATAAATTGTCTACAGTCCTATTGGTTCCCCTTTAGGGTCGTCGCGTCTATATAGGATCGCGTTTCCCCAATGTGTTTTTAATCTATTGCCGCGGGAAAATTGCTTTAATTTCAAAAGACAGGTACTGGTTACCTTGACCAAATAATATATATGTTTAAGTATTTTCCTGTAATTTTGAAGGTCAATATAGATAGACAGAAAATAAACGAATATATTGTCGAAAAAGTTTAATTTTTTATATCTATTTTTTGTTTGGTTCTGATGTTTGTACCTTATAAATACATAGTTTAATAAACATGTGTTTTGTACCTTTGCAAAGTTATGTCAAATATACTGCCAAATTGTAAGATTTGTAATTCTAGTTAAGCTCGTTAGCTCTCCTATGGATTTTAGAAAACTTAATGTGCGACCACTTTTAAGCTAGTTTGTTTTGATCACGATGTGGTGAACGGTTGGTGTACAATTATATGTCATCTGTTTAATTACTTAAATTCAATGTAAATTGTATCACTGTTTGTTTACCCGTGAAAATATATAAAAAATAAAAAAATTGAGCGCACTCCGCCATCTGGCGAGTACTGCAGGATTAAATGAAACTCCTCCGACCCAATTAGTCAACATGACATTTGACCCCCTAAAACCACCCCTTCATATCCTCTACTTGGGGGAGATCGGGAGAACTTATAAAGAGTTGAAAGTACGATCGAACACCAATAAAAATAGGAGTATTAGGCTTGTGTTGAACACAGTGTTTTGTTTACTTACTAAGAAAGAAATTATATACAAATAAAAAATAAGAATAGTAAGAATGTTACTTACATTTCAATCTCAAGCACTAACCTTGAGAAGATCGGCAGCCAGTTTTAAAACATTGTTAGTAATGGTGAGTTGTTCTTTGCTCTCTGGCCTTTGTTCCATAGCCAGGTGAAGGTTAATTTGCTCCGTTAATAAGGCAGAAAGACATCCCCGATATTTCCTATTCACGTTGCTGCCTAAAGTTAAAAGTCGCAGGAGGTAGATGCCGAGACACGTGCTCCACAACATAGCTTCAATCAACCAACCCCTCTCGAGAGTAACCGAATCCTATATTTAAATAAAACATTATTTATTATCACTATATTCTGATTGATTGCACTAGATGGTATTGCTCGGTGGTGTAGTGGATCGTTGTTGTTAAGCATCTTTCGCAAGGGTCGGTCATGGGATGGGTGACCAATAAATTATTATCTCGAGTTTCTCCTTGCTTCGTATGACACATTAAGCCGTTGGTATCGGTTGCATATGCAGTCACTAATACCCTCCAATTTTTATTGGGCCTGCATGGAGGGTGCTGGGTGCCCCAGGTCTACAATGGAGTTAGTTCGCCACTGATTAAAAGTTATAGAAATAAAAAATCGACTTACCCTTAATAACTGTGCGCTTACGCATGCAAGTATTATCAGCGTCAGCATAAAAGCGGCAGACACTATAACATCTACCGAGCGCTGTGGACCGCGACGCTGTCGTTGAAATATAGACAATTACTATAAATAATCATAGCAATTACATCAGATTAAAACAGAAGGTTAAATATCGAACTTTATTATCAACGAATTAAGGCTTAAAATCTATTAGAAAACTTTGCCTATTGTAGTTACTGACACGTTGTCAACTACGAACAGTGACGATTTGAATGAAAATTTCCTTACAATATTCCCTCTGAACTAATCCAAAACCTCTTAATATCCAAATTTGAAGTAAGATAGCCTAGTGCCTAGCCTAGTTGAAGTAAGATAAACTAGCTAAAATTAAGTATTTATGTGATTAGTATAATAGTTAATATAAAAGATGCTTTGAAATTGCTTACATCAATTTTGGTAGGTAAAAAGTTATTTTTGAATAACTAACTCTAGATTATATTAAATATTCTCTAACTAAAAATGTCACTAGCCGTTTTCCAGCGACTACGCCCGCGTATCCCGTAATTATTAAATAAGTCTATCGATTTTTTTTATATTCTCTATCTGTAATTGTCACAATCTGTTTTCCCGTGTAACTGTGTTTAGTTTCCCGTAGGTAAAAGAATTTTTACGAACGAATCAGAACTTCCGAAGAATACCCCTCATAAACAAACAAAATTAGAAACTACCTCTTTATAATATTACCCTGATCCTTGCCGGGTAAGCAAGCAGATATAGAATTTATAACATGGGTGATAAAACTGTGGACGTTGTACGTACCCGTAAATAGGACCGTGTGGACAGCCAAGTCTTTATATTTCGGACTGTATTCAATCTAAAATGTGGTAACTCCGATTTTCTAGCGCGTCTAGCGGACGTCAGATGAGAGAACAGTTTCGCGTATAAGAATCGTTGCTTGAATGCTCTCTCTGCCACCGCTAACAGGAAGAACACGAGACCGCTTAGGGCGAATCGTAGTACGCAAGACAGCATGTTCGTTGATATCTCCCTGTTATCGGAAAATACGTAATTATAAAGAGTTCAATATATATAATTCATCATCATTTCAGCCGGAAAACTTTTTTGCATAATCAATATTGAGTTGGAATGTATTATGCCGTCACACTTAGGTACATTTTCTACGTAGGTGTGACGTAGCGAGCCCCCACTCCTCAACTTTTTAAACTGGCTTATATAATTATCTAAGCCAGTTAAATTGAAACAAAAGATATACGTATCTAATATTTATCTATTATCTGACCGACGGACTAGATAGAATTTCTTTTTTTCTTAGTCAAGCATCAATCCTATTCTAATGACCGAGCTTTTTTCGCTATTTTTTTTTTTGTAAATTAAATCTAGCTATATAGATTTATCACCTATAAAATACAATTTCTTGAAATCTTTAAAACCGTTTACTTACCAAAAGCTATCACCAAATGCACCGTTAAATATACAGAACAAAGATCCCTGGCTGTAACTGATCATTAAGTAAGGGATGTATGTGAATGGCGACACAGATTGGAGTTCTTCTTCTGTTCTGGTTTCTTGATCAATGGCTACCTAAGACAAAAACATTTATTATCCAAAGACAGTGTCCACCATTAAGTCTATCAAGAGTTTTAACACATATGTAGGTATTCAGTAAATTATGTGGAATAATTTAGGTATAGGTACTGATACAATAAGTTTATTGTTTCCACGGGTAATTTAAAATAATGTTATAAAGTTTGGTTATTCGCACTATGGGGCACAACAATAATAGAAAGTAGGAGCACTAGTTTTTATTATTGTAATTTATAAATAAATAAACAATACATAATTATAAATTTTCAATTTCGCTAATGTTATAATTTAAAGATAAATATATTTTATTCTTATATTTATAATTATTACTAATTGTTGTTATTCATACATACATTTATTCTAAATATATATTAATTACTTCTCTATAAAATATCTCCTCTCTACCTTTTTAATAAAATTAACTGTTGGATATATTATTTCATAACAAGCTTTCCGCCAGCGGCTACGCCCGCGTGGCGCGTATTAAACATATAAACCTTCCTTTTCAATCACTCTGTATATTGATGAAAATGTTGTGTTATACCAAATAAAAAGTAAAGACGGAGTTCGCTGAACAACAAAGTGAAGCCGATTTTTAGCAATTGTAGTGTGCGTGCCAGTGTGACCATAGTCATTAAAAACACCCCAATAACTTAACGTTACGACCACAGAACATAGAGAGAGATTAGAAGTATAATGATATTAATTTAGTATGGGAACCGAGTGTCGCCTCTCCGCACACAAATACAGATTAGATAAAATGATCATTTTGTTCACTACATGAAAAACCGCCACGCGATAGGTTCGCGATAACATAAATCAAATCCCAAAAAGATACTAAGCTAAGAAATCACACGATTAAAAACAAACTCTAATTCAACGTGATAATAAATAATTTACTTTAACATGAATGTTGAACTGTCACGTGGCTGTATATGGGGATACCAGAAGGAAAAAAATATTTTAAGATTATGCACATTTAAAAAAATTGGGGTCATCATTTTATGTATTAGATTTTGCTGTAACCAAGTGAATACTGAAAAATTAAGGCTTTTCCCTACATAATTTATTAAAATATCTTTTAAAAAACGCAGTACAAAAACTAAGAAAACTTAATGATACACTCTATCGTATGTCTGTGGAGTAATATAATTAAGCGAGGGAAAGTGTAAAAAAAAACAAAAATTAAGAAAACAACAGAATTTTTGTATTAATTACATTAAGCCTAATTTGTATTTTTTTCTTACTGGTATCATTCCGATTGTGCATATTAGTGATGTGACATATTAGTTGATAAAATAAGAGCTTTAAATTTTATTATGAAACAGTTCAATGTAATTCAGTTCGACAATTTTCTACAGTGGTTTGATAGTAATTATTTAAAGCTTTATTCAAATAAAACGAAATACATAAAGTTTGCATTACCTAATGTGAGGCATGTTAATATACTTATAAATGTAAATAGTGAAAAAGTTGAGATGGTGGAATCGACAAAGTTCCTTGGTATTTTGGTATATTGATAATTTGTCAAGTAGACTGAGTTCTGCAGCATTTGCTGTTAAGAAAATTAGACTCTTAACAAATGTTGAAACTGCAAGATTGGTATATTTTAGTTATTTTCATAGTGTAATGAATGACGTATAATCTATTGTTATGGGGTTCTGCGGCTAGCATTCAAGATATTTTTATTCTACAAAAGAGAGCTGTCCACGCTATATATAATTTACGGTCTAGAGAATCTCAAAGAGAAATATTTAAAGAAATAAATATTTTGACTGTTGCCTCTCAATACATCAATGAAAATATTATGTACGCAAGAAAACATTACGATTCCTTCACAAAAAAAGTAGAAATAAAAATAAACTTGCCATTCCAAGTGCTTGTAATAGCCTTCTTGAATAAAGATATTTTCATTTCATTTCATAATAACTAATATGATCATTACACTAATAAATTGATCATAGCCATGTTTGTTTTACTTTATTATTCTAAATTTTATATCTGTAATAATAGTAGTAGCTACATTATTAATTGCAACGACTGGACAATAAGGAATTGCTGGTCAAGTATGAGTTTGAAAGCCGTGACAAAAAAAGTTTGAAGATAGACACAAAAGCGATAAGTACGTACAAACGTCAATCTACATATAAAGTCACATCCGTTTGAGACATGCGTCTATAAACTTATGTGCAAATATGGAGCAACAAAAAAACTGATAAAAGCTGTTCTGTGGGCGGTTCTTTAAAATAAGTGAAATCCAGTTTCACCAGTTTCTAACAAGACCTATTAGGCCAACTCTTAGCTTTTCACGAAGTTTCGTTTAATTTATGTATTGTTCATAAAACGGTGATATACTTCGTAACTTAGATATTTATAGCACATCAGTAATTTTTAATATTTATCTGCGTGTAAATAATTAACCGAATCTTCGTAAAAAAAGTGCCTGGACAGTTCATTATTTCATTTGTTCAGTATCAGTTCATCTATAATTTTCCCTTGTAAACAGTATTTTTTAGTTTTATATAATTATGGCATATATTTATCGATAACGTTGCTATGAAATGATGAAAGAAAAGCTCTAAATAAATATGTTTTAGTTATCGATTACGATCCATATAATTAACAATACGATTCCGAGCAGCAGCAGCCTATCGGTACATTTCAGACAAATGGAGGCACAGCACTATTTTTTGCAAAAGTGCACAAAATGATTTACATTGCTGTTTAGTAATGGGGTCAGAAACATTGATGTTGGTTTGAGCAATCAATGTATATTTTATTTAACATTGTGTCAAATTATTACGTTTTTTATATTTTAGCACTAAAATTGTACTTACCAGTAAAAGGAAATGTTTGCATTAGTTAGATTGAATACTTTGCTTTGCTTTTTGCAAGTGATAATAGCACAAAACGGCATTTTTTATAGAAAAAATCTGTAAAATCACCACTCGACGATTGACGAACGACTGGCAAACATAAAACCGAGGAAAGGGCGTCATATGAGTAAAAGCGCATATGCCAGCGACGCGTGCCCCGCCCACTTACTACTTCTATTCTCTCTCTATGTTCTGTGGTTACGACGTTATAGAGTTAACGTAAATGGTATGTTATTTAATAATATAATGTAAATTCGTTTGTCAATATCAGCATATTGAAAAAGAAAAGGTGTATCAAGAATAAAACTACTGTATATGTATAAAACTTGTGTTTGTATAAATTAAAAACCATTTACAAGTAAATAAAGCCAGGGCGGCTTATTTCTTCTACTTTATTTCATGCTTCAGAAGTTATTTTACAATGGAATGTCTCTTGTCCAATCAGTTAAAATGAATTGTTGTTGATATCCAAATGATGAGATTCAAAAATATTTCATTAGCGGACATTATTTTCAAGTACAGGTATGTATTTCTGATGTTTAAGGATTTTTAGAAACACTTAATGACTCAGTAATTTTTGCTAACGATATGGCCAAGTCGATATGTTTGACTTACGGTATGTGAAGTAGAAGGCTGATTTGAAGCAAAAAATGATATGTCTGATACTGCAGTTGGGACCTTAAAGATAACAATAATATTAATCGACGCTAAAATTTTACCAGAAATAAGGGAGATATTGCAATTAGTAGTTAATATGTGAGTGATGTGTTGGTTTTGGCTGTTTTAACAAAAGAATAATAATATTGTTTGATATTCTGAAATCTTTAAGAGTAGGTAATTATTATTGGAGGCCATAAATTAGAGAGACTATATAATTAATTTTAAAGATAAGTTTGAAAACTTTCACTATGTTAAATAAAATTTTAATATAAAGAAAGTTTGAAACCTTTGAGTTTTGCTTTATTCGACATAACCCTTTTATACTATAATAACCCTTTTATACTATTATACATATCATAGCTCTTAAAATGAGTCGAACAAACTACGCTGCGCGAAGTTGGATTCAATGAAGGTTCATTCCGACTATTACGAATGACTGAAATTCACTTCTCTTTCACATTTTGATGTCGGTTTGGAAATCAAATAATTAATGCAAACCTGTTTAGGAAAGATAAAGAAGTAAAAAATTAAACCCATTTTTTACTTCCTTATTCTAACACTTCAATATATGTGATCAGGATCGCTATGTGGCATTTTGAATGCAAAATTTATTAAATATCGTTTTCATACAACAAGAAACAAATACGTAACGTAATTTGTGTTTTGTTAGAAATAACGAGTTATAAAATTAAAGTTACCTTATTTTGGGGTAAATAACAATATTTAACAATGGTAATATTTGGCTGAGGTTTTGTGTTCCAAGAAGTAACTTAAATTTTATTTTAAAATTACTGAAAATGTTAGTTTTCTCCGAGACTTACGTGTGAAATGTGATTCCATCCTGCTTTTAATTTTTTGAGGATTGGTTTTTACAACCTTTCACTACACAATTCGGCATTTAGTAAGAAATTTTTGATTTTTTTTATAACGAAACGTTCCGCACACTGTCGATAGTTAGACTGATAAGGAAGGCGTAGTTTCGTTATGTGTGTGTGCGTGAAACTGTGTACGAATACGCCGAGGCGTAGTTTTGTTGGCTTCACTTTTCTGTTAGGCAAAACTCCGTCTATACTTTTTATTTGGTCTGAGAACTAATATGTAATAATCAACTTATAATATTCTATTGTAACGGTAATTTTTAATTTAGCGCATCTTGGCAATCCAATTTCTGTTAATTAAATATCAATGGTTCTATGTGACTCGATAACTAAATAAATAATCTTTTGTTGTAATTATTTTAAGCTTGTATTTTAAGGGTCTACCTTGTTTAGCTGCTAGACAACGGATACACACACATGGGGAAATGAAAGGATGTAGAAGATAATGAAAACACTTCAACATTTTTCTCGGTAGCATTATAAATATAGATGAAGCGAGACATATGTCTAAAAATTTGGGTATGCAGGTAGTTGAATGGTCTTTTTGTTTTACCTGAACTAATCTAGATATAGGCGAGAAAAGTGCTATGGCGGCGGCCATAGCTATACCCGCCCAGAAACAGCCGTCGGCAGCCATAGCTCGTTCCGCCCGAGCCACCACATACCAACTTATATCTACGGCGGACAGTTCCGCTCGCAGCATTGAGCCGCGTTCCCACATAGTGCATTTCACTATCAACAATTATAAAAAAAAATAAAAATACGACTCAGTGCAGTGGAGACATTAATAGTAGTTTATGCAACTGTCATATATGAAAGGGTCTTAAAACACGAGAGTCTGTCTCTTGTTTTGTAATAGGTTGACGCGAGTGTTTTAATACCTAAGTTATATGCAGTTTCATACACTACTTTATCTTCACAGCGCACCATCGAAGCGCGGGAAATTAAATTCAAACTACGCATGCGTGCGCCATTTTTTTCATATTCAGCCTAAAACCATAGACTAGTTTCATGAATAAAAAAAGATAGCGGTACTATAATGAGTTTTATGATACAGTTGGCGGTACTATAATGAGTTTTATTTTTAATTTTATGTTTATGCGTTTATAAAGTGCGTATTTATAGAATCGTTAATGAATTCTTAATTCGAATTTTTCGATTTGAGTGTAGATAAAATATGTTTTACCATTAGTTTTGAGACCCACCTGTATCACTGGTGGGATCTAGCAAAGCAAAAGGATCCCATGAACTGTCTGCTGCGTAACGGAATTCAACATCTGAATGACCACCTTCGGACTGCGATCCATAACTGCTCTCTTCACCTGTTAACGTATACGAAGTATTGCTACATAAATTTTTATTGGATACAAAGTTTCGTTCATGGGTATATCAGTGTACAGGAAAAGATTTTATTTTCATAATTAAATATTAAAATTATCATTTATTTTAAATTATATTTTAATGCGTAGTATACAAACTGTGGGTATCTCAATAAAAATAGATCATTAACCTCAGCAGAGCGATTCTGTAAAATTCGAATTCACTTATGTGTCCGAATTCATGTTAATTAGTGAAGAAATTCTATTAATTCCAATTTTGTATAAAATACAAAACAAAATTGATTGATTATACGTGTCTCGGATATTTTATTCCTGTCATTTCGAAACTCATTTCACTTATGTCATGAAACGTTATTACCAATTCAAGATTGGGCGGATGACTCTTCTTGAAGTGAATTCGGATACATGAGTGATTGTAATTCGGGTTTGGATTTTTACAGAATCGCAGGGCTGGTAAGAGTGGGGTGACCATAAGAAACAAAAAAGAACACAAAATGTTTACTCACTGAATACAATAATTACCCATATCGTTACTCACACACGAAAATTTTATTGCCACTGTATGGTCAAAAAAAGTGGTTCACTAGTTTTAGCTTAGGTTGACTTTTCTAACGAATTTTAGATGCCCACTAATTATGTATTATTTGCTTTTTTTTATGGAATAGGGGGCAGACGAGCAGACGGATCATGGGCACCTGCAACACCAGAGGAGCTACAAGCTGACATTTGAAGTAATGGTCACTGATATTATTATTGATTCTTCAAAGGGAAATTGACCTTGTTCATGACGTTCAAATGAGTCTAAATAGACCATATTCATGACCGACTACAAAAACAAACGGCATTATGAGTACCAACTGCAAGTAGGTAACACCTTTTTAATTTTCAGATATTTGTAAAAATATGATATTTAATTTGATAAAGACCCATTTCAAACTTCATTTTAAAAATTTTCTTTTTTAATGATGATTTCAAAACGGTTATTTTAAAAATCAAAAACAACTCCAAACCGTCACAGATAAATCATTTAGCTTCATTTCGTGACACTGGGACAGATGGGACTCTGAATAAAAATTAATCCATTGTGCCTATTAGCGAGTAAGCAAATAGCGTCATTAATCTTATTTTAGAATGTGTTATCCAAAGCACAACTTTGGGTAAGCCCAACTTTCATCTTAATAACCTCCAATCGATGCCGCATGAAATACAGCAAGACAAGCATCTATGATTCCGCATAGATCGTTTTAACCAAAGTAGTAATACGAATCTGTGTGTCTCGATTCACGATCTGTGAATACATGCTTTGACTTTTCTTTATAATGAAATAGTTATTGGGTTAACCATGGCAAGCTGAAGTGGCAAATGGTGTGGACAAACTTCAGAACATGTTATTGCAAGAAAGATGGTATAATATTTCATCAGTGAGAAAAAAAAATCTTATACCAAGATGGAACTATCACCAAAATGTAGTATAAGTTGAATGTAATTATTATATACCTACAATGTATTTTTAAAAGCTGGGAAAAGAAAGATAATCCTCTCTGAAATATGTCTTTATTTTTTAGAACGCAGTTTAAATTATGTTATTTTTGAACGCATCTTATTAATAATGTCATTCCTACAGAAGTCCTTCTCTTTTCAAAGTACAAGATCTATTTTATTTCTGACTAATCGAATTTGATACAAATCTTATATTATTTACTAACCATATAAATTCGTGAAAATTATAAAACTTAGATTAGATTGCTAATATAATTAGATGTTACTTAGAGGAAAATAGTTTATTTATAATGAAATTAAAAACTAATGATTATTCATAAGAATCGATATTACAGTATTAAATCGATTGCAACCTCCCTTTTTTAGACAAATACGTGTAGACGTGTTTCTACGCAGACCGTTATGTAACTTTGGCGGCGATTTTGTATTAACTTCTGTATTATGGGGAGCATACTAGGTTCCATGGGCAGTATAGAAATGAGGTTTGGAGAGAAATACTGGATTCTCTGGATTTATTAGAATTAGACTTAAATATAAATAAAGTCCTAATTATAAGGGGAAGAATTAAGTCGAGACATTGGGAGGAAACAATATTATGTGTACATTTTAATAAATAATGACACATCCGGGTTAGCTGGCATAAGAGATCACTGCTGTAATTGTCTTATTGGTCGATGTACACTGGGATGCTGTGCTCATATAATGACCATAGTTTGGTATCTTGGATGTTGTATTGCTATATCCTTTTGAAATTAGTAATTTTACTACTTCTTTATATACGTTATAATGTAAGATAGAAAATTAGAGTTATTGAGAGCAATCTTAAAAAAAAAATTTTTTTTTTATGTTCTTTGGTTCACAAAAAATGATTTTATTTCTTACAGTCAATAAAAATAATATATCAGATATGGAGCAAGTTTGAAGTATTATGTGAAAGTATGCACTTCTAGGACCACGATTAGGCATTATCTGACGTGTGCTTTACATATTTCAACTGTAATACCTTTAACTCAAAATGCTATAGTTAAAATAATACGACATAACCTCAAAAAACATATTACACAATTACTCGATACTCCCAGCTTTTAAAAATATATTTAATTTCTATCTTTGTTCTAGCTGCATAGGCAAACAAAATAACATATGTTTCATCAAGTTACGTTTTATTCGATTTTACTAGTCCAAGCATGTTAGGCAGCTGGCCATTGTTCTTTCTATCTCGCGGAGTTCAAGTTATAGAAGACAATTTAACTTTAAAAATGCAGTACACACAATTGTTTTCTTGAAATTCATATCTTTATCTCCTTACTATATAAATTCGTATATTAATTTCATTCTGACAGACACGTGTTACTAGTATCGCTACTGCATGTTTTTTCTACGTATGATTGATATCGATATTTTCGTACGTAAACATTGATTGGCATTGTTATTATAACAGGAAAAAAAAATTTCAGTACACAAATTAGTAAACAACAGTAAATAACCCCGAGATTGATAACCAATATTTGTCAATATACCTACAGTACCTATGTTAACTACTTAAAGATATTTATTATTTTTATATTGGCCATATGACTTAGAAAGTTACACTAGGCAAGTGTTTAGAAATAAACATTTCAAATTGAATACTAATGTCTAAACCATGCAAGTCAAATAATTTAAGAACATATGTATAGTTTCCATTAATAATTTAAATCCTATTTTAATACTTGTTTGTTATTTAAAAGCTAGAATGTGATGTTGTTATCCCATTTTTAATTTTCCCTTACTTAAACATTTCTTAATGTTATTCTCATCGTCTGATTGAAAGTTAGTGATTTTAGACATATGCGCTCACGTGCGAAGCTTTGATCATCAATTAGTTTATGGTGCTAATAATTGTGCATTAAATAAAAATAAAATTAATGAAAAATATTTTGTATGTAATAGTAACATTTAATATCGATCAATTATCGACATGCCTTTAACACATTATGATATGGTTCCCATCACTACAGAATACGAGTCATTGTACTAGCCAATAGCTTCGGCGCAGTTACTTCGCCCGCCACCTACCCTATCGCTAAGATTGGCATCTTTATTTTTTTAACAAAATAGTAATCAATCGGAGGTTATTCGTGACTTATAGTAATAGATAAATAAATAATAATAAAAATATTGAAACTGTTTATGTACTGAAGTCTTGCACCTATTTTTATTCGCATTCGTAGTACTGAATCAATATTAGGAAAAAAGATGAACTATTTATATAAGAGTTGTATTGATGCTATCAAAACTATCTATCAATATATAAAGATAATTTTGACTTTCGAGTGTGTAGAGGCGGTGATGTATGAACTTGTTAATATAATATAATATAATATAATGTGCTTACTGTTAGTGGTTTGGCCAACCCAGTCAGACATGGTATGGTGCGATGGTAGGGCGATAGATGGCGCCGAAGCCGAGCATTCGCCATCGGATGACGACGACTGGTAATTATCTAATTTCTACAGAAACACAACACATCATTATGGGTACTGCTAAGTGGATTTTATATATTATTCCTCCATTAATTCCACAATTATAATAATTTACAAATAATATAAACTACGGACACAATTAAATCGGATAGGACATTTTTTTAAATTCTTCTTCAATTCGTAAATGAGTTTTAGATTAGACAGAAGTTTTAAATTAACATAACGGGGTATCGTTTTTCTTATCTTTAAAAGTTAAATTCTTTGGAAATTAATTTGAAGGATCCATCATATGATCAGGAAATATGAAAGTTATTTTATGATGTGAAGCAATGGGTGTTATGTGCTGGCAATACTCGTGTGACAGAATTCAAACACAGACCAATACCTTTTCTGTCGTGCTTTTTCCATCCGTCTATCACCTAATGTTATAAAAAACGGTTAATACGTGTTTATATAAGACACAAGTGCGAAAAATAAAAAAAAGTAATAAGCTAATTTTATGTTTGTGTGTATCGATGCATAATAAGTACTAATCACCTTTTGTTTCTTTTTGATTGCGCTAAACTCGTCGTCACTGGATTCTTTAGGTAAAGAATCTTGAATCCACGATCCTCTGAATCTTACACCAATTCGTTTCGTTACTGTCGGACTGCTGGTTGGACCGCCGCCATCAGATTCGGGATCTACCGATTTGTCATCGTCTTCATTTCTCGCATTTATTATTTTCACTTTGTCTTGCTCTTTGGAATTGTTTTCTTCATTAGGAACTTTTTTACCTTCTTTAATAATATTTACATTTAATGCTTCTTCCTTTTTATTAATTGTGCTAACAGTCTCATTATTTTTTAATTGAACTTCAGCTCCGATTTCTTTTGACCGATTCTCGGCGTCACTACCATTAGAGTTGTACCCGTTAAGACTTTCAAAGCCATCGTCTCCATCAGCGAAAAAGGGTCTTGCAACATTTGAATGCTGCGCTTGTCTAATGTTGAATGTTTCTAGATGTTTTTTTGTTAAGTTAGCTTTATAGCCATACGATGTGCTAGGGGTAGCAACATCTGATGGTGGTGTAAACGTAACAATGGGTGTAGTGAGATCAGGTTTCTTCCAAGGCATATAGTCTTCATCGTCAGAATCTTTAGCTTTCATTTTAATTAAAGATTTATTTTTAATTGATGGATCAAGGGTATTCATTAGATTGTCTTTCGTCAATTCCTTCTTCCGTTTTCTGAAAGTAACATAAGTACTAAGATACGTCAGGTGCACTTGGTGTTTATCGTCGCGTTAAGCGCTCAAAGGAAGCGCGATTGCATCGTTAAATCCATTCGCTCCATGGTGTGTATACGCAAAAAGAATTTTGAGTGCATTCAATATTATTACTATTATTATTTTATTCGTGATGTTATGGATGTTAAATTCACAAAACTGGATAAGATAACAATAAAATTATACAAATTTCGTACACTGTTAAGAATATGAAGTTATTTTAGATTATTACCAGTTAAATTCAGATAGCTTCGATTAAGGATACTAGATATTTTAGGATTAAACATTTACCTACCTTAAACCATTTTCAGTTAAATCCGTACGCGACTGTCTTCGTCGAAATTTTGTTGGCTTATTAGGAGTTTTACTTTGACTCGATGTAGCACCACTCTCCGCGGAACCACCGCCACTGCCTCCGTCGCATTCAGACCGTGTCCTCCTAAACAAAAATAGATAAACAAAGTACGAATTAATTAAAAATAAAAAAACGTATTTTTTTAAATCCAACTTTATGTGCAAATAAAACGTGACATTTATATTTACATTTGAAGTAAAACGTGGAAATTAGATCTGTGACGCAATTGTTAAAACTGACAGCAGGCCGATTAACTTTAAAGAATTCCTTCAATTAATTCAAATCGATCTTAATTTGGTATATGTAAATTAAGTTTGTGTTTAATTATCTTTAATAATATTCTCTTAGGCAAGTTTGAAAATGTCGCTATTCATAAAAATCGAGCTTTAAACGTTAATTTTATCGAGATTCAAACCTGTCATGATCGATTTAAATCGATTTTTATCAAAATTAACCCACATGCCTATTGTCAATGCTGTCATAAATACCATTCTATGCTGTCATTTTGCACAATGGCGTCAGTTTTTCTTGTTCAGTGTCTTATTTGCAGAGACTCAGTTTAAAAATCATTATTTAACAAATGAGAAAATTATTTGAAATTCTGAATGTATTGATGACATTTAAATTAGATTTTTTTGTCATTAATTAATGATAAACTATACCTGAAGTAGCGCGGCAGTTTTCTTCGATAAGTGGCTCGTGGACGTACTCTTGCTAACTCCATTTCCGTGGTGCTTACGATTTGTGAATGTACAACGCTTAGCACCAACATCAAACCCAGAGGGACTAACCAACAATTGGCCTGAGAATAATACATTATGGCTCATTTACATTGACAGAGTCCGCGAGCGATTTGTTCATTCATCGATGAGAGAAAATTACGGTTCAATGAAAATGGGTCACTGGACCAATGTTAATGATCCATAAAATCAAGAATTGTTTAATTATTTTATTAAATATATTTTCACTATAAGTATTTGAAATTCATATTATTTATCGAGTTTCTTTACCTATGCCCATCCCTAAGTTAATGTATATATTTACAAGACCTGCACCTAATTTGTGAAAGCTGATACTATGTAAAGTATTTTGCGTTATTGTAAGTTGAGCGAAAATGTCAACTTACATCAACAACTATATCAGTCGGTGCCATAAAATATAAGGTAATGTTGAGCACTTGCATTATCCATAACGCAAGGAGAAAATTCGCGCATGCCGGCGACGTCTGTTGCACCCACCACTGGTGTAATCCCGGAAGAAACACGAGGCGTACTAGAGCGAACCATACTACACGGCGCATGCCTAGCGTTGGCTTTGCTTTAGGGAATGATGATCCTGAAACAATAAGGTTGTTGACGATTAAAAAAAAAGTATGTGTATACTTTTGTGGTTCATGTTCATATAAAAATAGTTTACCGCGAATTATTTTTATAATAATTTTTAATATTTCAATTTGAATTTGGCGGGAAAACGACTATCCTTTTATGCCCGCCATATTATGACGTCGATCTTTTGTATACTTGTTTTATCAGCGATACAGTGATCGTGCGGCATAATAGGGATATTGATAAGCACATTCTTTGATTCTAATTTACAACTTTTATACCTTGACGAGTCCACAATTGCCAAACGGCATACGATAAATTCAAGTACACTTAAGTATTAGACATGGTCGAAAGCTTCGGTTATTTTTTGGTTCTTTTTTTTCATATATTATTGAATTCGGAGTGCTACATTTATTTTGAATTCCTTAATTTCGTGTAATTTTGCTATAAATTACCAGAATTGAGTCATTATCTTTCTATATGTTTCAAATTTACAAGGTAAGATTGGGTAATAAAAAAAAAATAGATCATGATAATATTTTTAACACTTTTTAAAAAGTCCGTCATTTCAGCGTACTAGAGCTAAACTAATATTGTAGGGATCAAGTATATATATTTTTTTGTGTCAATGACCAAGGAGTCCACAGACAAGTACTTGGATAACAACATTTTGTTTTGAAAATGGAAGTCTAACGCGGCTATCTCGGCGTTTCAACAGAATGCATGCATTGCATTAAGGTCATTTAAATCTCTTTGGTATCATAATTATTTTAATCACAAATATCAGTACCTCTCACTAAGTCTACATCTATGAGGTATGAGCGCACGTGTGATGAAAAGTCGACGATGCGGCGCCGGTAAGTGCCGCGCATTAGGAGCTGTTCCACCATCGTCTCCCATTCTTCTTTGTCGTACGAGCTGATCTTTTTTTGATACCTAAACGAAACAATATATACATAACAAAATCAACTATTGAATTCGAAAGGTCTAGTCATTAAACATATGAAAACTGCACTAGAGTCTAATGAAGGATTCATTCCTTCTTTTAGTAGGTATTTTTGAGGTATGTCTCTGAACAAAGATGCATTTAATAATTTCATTTATTTGCTTTGAGTACATAAAATGTTGATTGGGCACCAACTATTATTTACTTATTAGACAGTGGGAATGACGTTTTAAAGATGCTTATTATGAAACCATTTTATCAGCAGTAGCAGCGCTGCACTGAAGGAACTGAGAATACAATAATATATCTGGACCTGAAAAGCATTAGGTCGGATGTCGGGAATCTTAGGCATAACTGTATAAAAACAGAAATAGCTAAATGCAATCAAAATATTTGAAAAAGTCGTCTGATCCGACTTTATGCATGACTGTTGCTCATGAGTAAAAAGGCACAAACATACAAGAGTTAATTTGCCGGAAAGAGAAAAAAGAGTGTAGCAACGTTATGGCGATAAGTGATTTTAGCTGGTTCTGCACATCCGACCTAATGCTTTTCAGGTCCAGATATAAAGAATGTATAGAGAATGCCCAGATAGGAATCATACCTATTCTCTAAAATACTACCTATAGTTATTATATTTGATACTTTTATACTTATTATTATATTTGATAAATTTTGCATTCACAATGTTATACTGAATAATAATAGTAGATAGTCTTGGGTAGCTCAGTGGTTAGATTAGCAGCCCGGATTGCGAAAGGTCATGGGTTCGAGTCCCAGGGACAAAGTAGATTTTTAAGTATGTTTCATTAAGAATAGTTATACCTAACATTTTTATTTCTGTAATAAATAGAGAACTATATTTTTTTATTACATATAACTAGCTTTTGCCCGCGTCTTCGTCCGCGTGGTAAAGTTACTTTGAGCAGCATTTCTAACGAATATTTATTCATTATATCGTGTAAAATACCTGAAATAAAGTTTCATCGCCTATTTTATTCCCTTAGTGATGGAATTTATCAAAATCCTTTCTTAGGAGATGCCTACGTCATATTAGCTTTATGCATGCGGAGTCTCAGCCCGATCGGTTTGAAATTGATAAAGTTTCATACAAACTTTCATCCCCTTGGGGGCAGAATTGATCAAAATCTTTTCTTAGCGGATGCCTACGTCTTAACATCTACCTGCATGCCAAATTTCAGCCCGATCCGTCCAGTGGTTTGGGCTGTGCGTTGATAGATCACTATGTCAGTCAGTCACCTTTGAGTTATATATATATAGATAGATAGATACCTTTAAAATAAAGTATAGTAGAATCTCCACTATTAAAAATCAGAGGGTGCCAGGTTATTGGAATGTTTGGATTACTGGATTATAGAGAAATAAATAAAATAAATCTTTTCACTAGACAGATTTTATTGTAATTGTAATAAATCTCTATAATATATCTGTGATATATGTGTTTATATAGTTTCAAAATAAGTCCTTGCTTAAAACCTTTTCTCTCAGGTTTCGAAAGCGCCAGAAGGTGCCGGATAGGACGTGTCTATTGGAGTGCTGAATTTGGTGATGTTTTACTGTAGTTTCATTGGAGGAACATAACTAAAAATATGGATAACTACGTGTATATACATTTTTAACAACAAATTGCAGTAATTAAAAGAAAACAGGTATTTTGTTTTATTGGTGTTCTATGATTAAAATCATTAGGGAAGATACACACATGGTAGGTAATTCTTGCGTCAATTAACAAGATTTCTTATTAATATTATACACCACTTGTACAACTAGAAATATATTTTTGTATGCCCCTTGCATATTATTTTTTTTCTACATATTCAAGTAAAAAGAAAAGAAAACACTTCATAGTTTAAAATAAATATATATTGTAAAATATACTAGCTGATTTCTCACGAATTCGCTTGCGTAAATGATAGCCTATGTGACCCTGTGTATGATGTAGCTTTGCGCAGGTAAAAGCATTTTTAAAATAAGTCCAGTATTTTCAGAGCCTATTCAATGGAAAAAACAAACAAGTAATCAAATCTTTCTTCTTTATGATATAAGTATTGATTTAGAACAGTTAAAAAGGCATTTAAAGGAGGGCACTATTTTAATTTATATTTTTCATAAATATAGTTTTTGAATGACATGTGATTTGTTGGTTGAAAAACTTATTTATATGTAAAGTGAAATCATACACTACAAATGTGCATGTCAAAGTTATAGGCCAAATTTCCACAGTTAACTTTCAACTCTATCCAAAATACATTATGATTTGTATAACCTGATGTGCTGTTGATGGTACCTAATTTACAATAGCCTTTTCATTCATTTATTTTGTGAATAAGAATATATTTACTTAAAAATTATAATTCAAATACATATTTTAATGGTAATTTTCATAAGGTTCCATTCTAAAGAGAAAAATTGAAGCAATATCCTTAATTTTGCTGCCCCTAATATTGGCAATTGTCTATCTCACCCCTCCTAATATTATGTGTTAGGTATTGGTATTTCCCTTTTTATTTGCAATTATATGAAAACAGCACAATAATAACATTTTATTACCATAAAGGCTAGTTATTATTATTTAGAATTTAAAACATCACTTAACTATCTAACAGCATATAGTGGTGTATTCTTGAACCCGACTTGAAGATAATATCAAGTAATAAAATTCATTAAATGACTAAAAAAATCCAGGTTTCAACTTATTTTTATTAGAATTCTGATAAAAAAGTGTAATGGTGCATCATACCACACCATTTATTTTTTCCTAGGTCTCCGCAACCAAAGTTTTTGCCTTCGATCTTTAACACAATTCTTTTTTTATTATTTGTTTCTCATAATTTAAAATTTTGAGTAGGGAAATATGCTCTTTCTGAATGTCAGTTTGTGAAATGATTCTTCTGGCAACAATGTGATCATCATTGAAAATTAATAAAATATATTTAGTATGCATATTTAAAATCTATGCTGTGATTTAGGAGTTGTATTTATGAAGTGTATGTATATAAATTTGCATCATATCTATTAGTATTTTGCATAATATCTAGATAAACCCAAGAAAGGTAATTTTTTCTATTACTTATCATATTTTAAACTATTATATATAATTCATATGGGAAGTTTTTATATTCTTTTTACAACAGTTAATTTATTTAGACTATAAATATTTCTCTACATAGCTCCAACCAACAACAAGCATTGAACCAGTCACAAAAGTATTTGTCATTCATATTATTTAAAGAGTTTCTCTACTTTTGCCCAACCCCTAATTAATTACTGGTTATGCCCATATTATGACAGGTTTTTATTTTATAGAATAATTTACTATATACTCACCAAGCAGCTAGGTGCTTCATGATCTATAATATCAAAATAATTTGCAGTACTTGTACTTGAAAGCTGAAAGGCAATAATAAATTGTATTTATATCAGATTTACTAATAGTGATTAGTCTGTTTACTCATTAGTTCTATATTTAGAATTATTGAGTGCCAAATTTAAACAGACGGTGAGCTAAATATTTTTTTTAACAATTCTCTGCTAGAACATCTAAAAATACATTTTAAATTATGTATTATTCTTTTAAAGTTATAAGTGATTATTTACCATTTGACTAATTATCATACAATTTCATTCATTAATTTCCGTGCATCTAATTCTATTTTTTTAACAAAGTGAACACTGGAAACAGAAATATTTAAAATGAAATGACTAGCTAGGACAAAGCCCGTTTGTTTCGTTTTATCAATAATGTTAAATAACAATAGACCTTTAAATTACGTCCACATAGAATGATTTATTTATTTATAGTTCAAGGGAGTGTAAAAAAGGTCAAACTGAGTTGGATACTTAGTATTCAACTTTAAAAATAATGTTTACAAATCTACCGTTAGACGTAAGATAAAATTATCAACATAATGACGTATCAATCACAAACAAAACTGTTAAGATTATTTGACGTTATTAGTGAAATCTTATTAATAATTTATTTTAAGAGTGGAAGCTATATGTTATGATTTCAAAACAAAATTAATTTTATAAGAAAATTAATTCGCAAACTTCGACCACCACCGATGACAAGATAAATTGACAGTGACAGTAGTATAGTAGTAATAGTTTGTTTCGTCCATAGAACAGGCGAAGGAACTTAGCCATACTGCCAAATCTTGAGTGATAGTTTGACATTTACAAAATAGATGTCAGTCATGGGAAGAGCGATACGAGCAAATACTAGTGCTAACTCGATACTTTTCTTTCCATACCAAGTACTTTGAAATCGATACTTAAGAACCGAGTAACAAGTAGTATCGTGAAGTATTTGTATCGTTATTTGTTAAGTCATTCATTGAGGGATATTAAAAAACACGTGCGTCAGGCTGTTTACTCTATGGTTAGGTTTCTAAAGTCAATCTTATAAAAATTCCCACAGGCACGGCGTCAAGCAAGGCAAGCAAGTATTTAATCTGAGAATATGTGCTTAGAAGAGAAGACTTTTCTTTTTAATAAAGTAAGCGGCGCGCTTGTGGCTCCTCTGGTGTTGCAGGTGTCCATGGGCGGCGGTAATCACTCACTATCCAGGTGATCCGTCTGCTCGTCTGCTTCCTATTCCATAAAAAAAAATATTAGTTAAAATTAACCTATTTTTGAAGAATTAACTTAATAATTTTATATGAGTGCAGTGGCGCTTCTCTCATTTTTATGTATGTTTTGTGTCTCATTTTATCTTAGCTTTAAATTAGTAAGTGTAGCAGGTATACCAGTACTACAAGCAATGCAAAAATGGTTATTTTAATACTTTGATTTTTTGCCTCTCTGGATTATAAATTCACGTTTTGGGTTATAAATTCTCATATTTTTAATTAAAACTTATTTAATCATATTTCTTTGTATTAAATCGATTTTTGAAAGTTATTCTCATCGACTGATTGAAAGTTAGTAATTGAGTGATCGCGCTCACGGAAGCCTTGTCGTTGGATGCTTGTCCCATAATTAGTTTATAGTACCTAATTGTGTATTAAATAAATACATTTAATAAAATATATTTTACTGACATCTAATTTGACATTATGGAATTTAATATCGATCAATTATCGACATGCCTTTAACACATTATGATATGGTTCACATCACTACAGGATACGTGTCATTGTTAGAGATGGAAGTTTAAACGAAAAGCACTTAATTAAGCATGTTATTCTAAGAAAGTGCAAAAGCACTTTTTCACTTAGAAGAAAAGTATGCTAATGCTTATTGTACGTCCCGCCATCTATCAAGATATACTAGTAGCTTCAATCAATTTTCCTGTTTCGGCATTTTTCCATTAGAGGGCAGCACTTTACATAAATGCACTGTATTATACTATAACGCGTAATATTCATCTAGACTTTTTGCAACAACTTTTTTGGTTGGTTAATCCAAACGCTTTTTTAAACGAAACTTAAAAAAGCAGTACGCTTTTCGTTGTTGAAGTAAGTGCATGTTGTGTTGAATGTTAATTAATGGCATAAGTTGAATTGTATGCGTAAATAAATTGCCACTTAAGTAATAACTTTTGTTAATTCTTAAATAAACAATGTAAATAAGTTTTGTTATGAGGTGACGGTGTGTATATAAAACATTCTAAATATTATTGAACTGCATTAGTTTTAAGATTGTGTAAATAAAAAATCACCCTTCCTTTTGAATCACCCTATCTATGAAAATAAAACCGCATTAAAATCCGTTGCGTAGTTTAAAAGATTTAAGCATACATAGGGATATAGGGACAAAGAAAGCGACTTTGTTTTATACTATGTAGTGATAACGTTGTGTTAAAAACAGCGTTTAAGCAATAAGCAGTTTTTAAAAACGTTTATTAAAAATAGTACAACGTAACAACGCTTAAAAATTTTTAGCAGTTATTTCCACCTCTAGTCATTGTACAAGCCAATATATAAAAAGATACTCTTGGCCAATAATTATATAATTCGTGGCTAATAGCATGCCAATAGCTTCGTCACAGTTACTTCGCCCGCCACTTACCTCATCGCTAAGATTGGCATCTTTATTTTTCTAACAAAATAGTCATCATGCGGTATCTATTGGAGGTTATCTGTGTCTGTGGCTTAAATTGTCTCCAATACTTAAGCAAAATATAGTGATGTTATTGCATCGATATTTATTAAACTTTTCAACGTTAATGTTAAATTTCTTATAATCAAAATTTTCTCTAACAACGATGGACTTCGAAGCTTGTAGCACTTAACAATATGTTTATTTCTTCGTCTCCGATTTCATGAGCGCTACAGACTTTTCAAATCGATTACTGTTGGAGAAAAATTTGATAATAAAAACTTTAATATTAACGTTATGAATTTGTCTTGCATATAACTATTATTTACATTTTAGTTCACACAAAAGCTTGTTTTTAAAAAACTTTTATTTAGACATATTTTTATTTTTTGCTTTTAGTTTTGTCTCATTCTATTCATTTCTGTCATAGCATCTGTATTGCAAGGTGTTTTTCCTGTTAATTTTATATATGTTGTTATTCTCTTAAAGACAGATCTAAAGAGCCCGAACACGATGCAGTTGCGTTATATCATTGTAAAGTTCTTATGGCCACCTTCCATCTCCATCATTACCAGACCTAGGTCTTGAAAGAATCCAGTACCAAAGTTCTCATAAAGATGGATCTAACGAGCCCAGACACGTTGCAGTCATTTCAACACTAAGTTCATATGACCACCTTCCGACTTCACACCATAATATTGCATTGTCATTTGACTTGCATGTCTATGGAAAATTTGAAATCTATCAAATATTGGGAAGTGGGAATTTGAGTTCCAAGATTTATACTACACCAGTGGCGGACTAACCCCGGACCTACAACTTTTTCCCACCGGGACAGAATATTGCGTTTACACCCTGCTAAGACGCCTCCTAAAACTACGAAACTGAACACAACCTCAATTTATGATGTGATCAAGGGAACTTAAGGAAGAGGCCCGGGGAGGACTACCTCCTTCGCCCTCCCTTAGTCCGTCACTGCACTACGCACTAACATACTAACAAGGCAAGTTAAATAAAAGCTTGTAATAAATTGGTAAATGGGATTAATAAATTTAGGAATAGATATTGTGTGTGCTGAAAAAAGAAAAAAATAGCAACAGTACTAACATCTTTATTAACAATAATTTATCCCTTTTTGGACAACAATAATAGAAATGACGACTGTGTAAAAAATAACAAAATCCTATTTAGTCCGTTAATTAGATAATAGAAAAATATTAGACACGTAATTTTTTTTTTATTTCAATTTAACAAGAAATAGCTTAGATAACACACATTATAGTTGAGGAGCGGGGGCTCGCTACGTCACAGTTTTGTAGAAAATGTACAAACGCGTGACGTTAGTGACATTTTAACTCAATGCATCGCTGTAATTTAAGGATTACGAACAAAATAAGTGTTTAATATTTTTCAACAATTTACCTGACGGACAAACAAACAAAAATTATTAGTCATTTCTATTTAATTTATACAATGATTAGTTGTTAAAGTCATGAAAATTTTATATTTTAGTTACCTATAATATTTACTGCGAATGTCTGTAACATCAATATCTAGTTCCTAACAATGAGGAAGTATTAAAAAAAACGAAAGCACTAAAGTTTACATTTGAAAGTTTTATCAAATAATACCTGCATGGAGATATCTTGAAAAATGTTTCGATTTTTAAATTACCACAACAATTATTCTTTAACAGATATTAACCTTAATTATCAATACGTTAAGATTTCAAATTAATTGAAGTTTATATTTTTTGGACAACCTGACGTGCTGTTTATTGTATCTAAATTTGAACCGACTTCAAAATTTAAAAGGATATATGTATTTTATGTGCCTTAGCTAAAAACAAAAGAATGTGTATTTGAATTAATTCAATAAAGAAACTACTACTGGACCGATTTTAGAAATTCTTTCACCTATGGGAAGCTACATCATATGCGGTGAACAGCATGTGATGTAGCTTCCCATAGGTGAAAGAATTTCTAAAATCAGTCCAGTATACATTATATTTTATCCCAAAAAATGTAAATGGGAGTGGAAGTTTATATATGAACGTCATGATATGTATCGATATCCAAATAAACAGTTCCCTAAGGACTACGCGGGTGAAGCCGCTGGCGGAAAGCTAGTATTTAATATTTTTAGTGTTACCTATTATATAAAAAATATAAATATCACTAAAAAGAAATAAATAAAAACTAAAAAAATAGAACCGACTTAAAACTTTTAAAAATTTAATAAAAATACTTATATCAAAATCGAATTGTTCAAGAAACTGCTGTCGAAGTCGGGTGCCTATCATTTAATTAATAACAAAAGACCTTCGCCTTTTTAGTGATATTTATATTTTAACGTTTTACATTCAGCTTCAACACAGATTTGCCAATTTTGTCTAAAATCAGTGGCGTAGCTACTAAGGGGCTAGGCGGGGCAGTGCCCCGGGGCCCTCAAGCTCAGGGGGCCCTCGAATCTTTACCAGAAAATCTCAATCAAAATTCTCCCATCTTCAAAATAAAAATGACAGGTGACAACTCGAGTTTAATCATGGACACTCAGTTGTGAGTAATTCCAAAGTTATAATTAGGTACCCTCCTTTGCGTCGCGCAGTCGGGTAAAAAGGGAATTCCCGTAAATTATTTGTGTGGGTTGACAGTGTTATTAATGTTTTCATCAATTTGTTGGAATTTGTTGATTATTATTTATCGATATGCGTTTTTGTGATTCGCGATTGTGAACTTCGAGTCAAGATTTTTTTTCGAGAATGGTTAAAAAGTTATTGTATCAGGAGTAAGTAATCGTATGTCAATAAATTTTTTATACTGGTCCATACAAAAGTTCAATTTTATTTGATTGTAGTCCGTCAAACCGTCAAATGAAGCAACACTGACGGCGATAAAGTGTTTGCCGGGGATTCCCCAACGACGCCTTGTATCGTATCATTTTCATTCATTCACGTTTCGCTTTCCTTTTACTTGTAACGTTGTCAGTGAACAGTGAGTGCCTACTTGAGTACAATCTTACATAAATATTGCATAAATAAATTAGAAAACTAATATTATGGACAAAAAAAAGAAATCCGGTGGTGCATTTAAACGCAAACAACGCCAAGAAAGAGGAGAAAGTAAACAAAAATTGCCCAAAATTGACAAGTTTTTTAGTCAGCCTTCTGCAAGTACTTCTGGATCAAATTTTTCTATTGATAATTTTTGTAAATAGCTTGCATGGCGATAGGTTAAATAACAGTAAACTGGTGCAACGTATCTATGATTAAATAAATATATAATAAACTCTTGAATCTTTTTTATTTCGTTTTATTGCCCAATACCTACACTAAGTATAAAAATAATTGTAATTTATGTTGTTAGTGTTTAATAGTTTTATTACCTGCCTATGCACGAAAAAGAGCTGATGATAAATTTATATGTATATTTAATGATTTTACTTCAAAAAACCTTACCAGTTTTGATAGCAGTGGGCCCCATTTTTTTATTTGCCCCAGGGCCCTAGATTACCTAGCTACGCCACTGTCTAAAATGTATCTGATTGTAAAATTAATAATTAAATTAAGAAATGAAAATGAAAGTCATGTCAAGAATGAAAAAAAAAATCTATAAAATTACTTCTCGATTAATTAGGATCGATATTTACACTGTTAGATTTAGTAAAGTTTTTGTTTGTAGGTACATTATACCAATATTAAATTTGAAATTAATAGCTATCCTTTGTTATGATCAATATTATATAATTGGATTAATCAAGATAAGTGAAACTGAGGAGACTAAACTAATCAACTGCTTTGGTATATAATTATGTACTCTATTGTATGTGATATAAAGACTGTTGCCGTTTGTACATGTGCGTTATAAAGTTTACTCCACTACTCATCTAATAAAAAAACTCTTTAATGTATTTGAGTGTGGTGTTGGGTGTTGGGCTACGCGTGCACTATAGTCTTTTTCACAAACTTCACATGGCATGGGTGAGGTGACGTTTGGAATTTGAAGCTTTTAGTGATATGGTAATAAAAAATCTATATACAAAAATCGATGTTATCTATAGAGTTCATTTCTAATAGATAAAATCAGAAACAGGATTTAATAAAAATGTTTATTCGTCAACAAGATGAACAGTCAGCAAAATTACTTAATTCTTTACATCAATTAAATTATTTGCCCTATACCGTATCCCATTCATACAAGCAGTTGCACAAACGTCCATTAAGGTTTGAAGGCGAATTTAAGCTTTCATGAATGTTCTAAGTTAGAAAATTTGTGTCGGTAATTTCGCTTTAAACTAATAATAATTTTAATGGACGTTTGTGCAATTTGGCCGATATAGTATAAAAATCTCTCTTTCTTAAAAATGTAGGTACATCTAAAGTGAGGATTTGTACTATTTTGTTATACTAAAGATCGGAATTTGCTTTTTCTCTTACAATATAATTCGTAAAAACATTTTTCTGGATCAGTCTAAAATCACTACTTAATTAGAGTAAAGCGTCACGTTTTTGAGATTTCAGCCATCAAAGGCTATTAGTCGGAGTCGGATTATTCTCTAGCTAGGCAAGCTAGGCACGTGCCAAAGTTACCAAGGAGCGTTACGTTACAAAGATTCGCAAATTTTTACGAAAAAACAGTCTTTTCGTGGCAAAAATGTCCAAAATCCACTACTATTTATTTATTACAGATTATTCAATTTTAAAATATTTCATTTTATTAATAACCTACAAAATCAAAATCGAAATCACTTTTCTTTAAGTTTGAAGTCGGTTCTAGTTTTTATAAAAAAAAAATTCAATACTTGTAATAATATCTCAACCTTTTTAAGCTGAGCGCCTTTGAAGCGTTATACATAGTTGACAACTATACAACGTAATAGTTGACTCTAGGTCAAAATAATAATATTCATAGACCATTTATAAAAAAAAAACAATATTAACATTAAACGACTTGTGAGTGGTTTTTATTTTACTTTTACCTGAGAGCTTTTCTCTATAGTCTTTGGAAGCGCTGCTGAAGGTATTAAAAAAAAAAAAATGTTTTGTAGTAAAGATTAAAGGCAGTGATTTTAAACACACAATAACTTACTATAACATATATTAAATTTGGTTATTCTAAACGATTCTAATAATATTTTTTTGCCTTTAAAGGTGTTATATACAAAGATAACATACCTATTTATTTACATTTTAAATTATTAATGTCTGTTTTATTTTACAGATACAGAAAAGAATATTTATAATTTAAGATTATATGATTACATTTTCAATATCTGCCACTAATTAAGCACCAAAACCACAATGCGATTTTCCGCTTTTATAATCACTGTTTGTACTTGTGTCTAAAGGAATAACCTTAAATTAAGAAGAGATTTAAACCTCTGAGTTCGGTTGAAATAAAAATGGGAGAAATCACCACAATTTATCGATAATTGTGATCATTTATACACATACATTTATTTACAGTAACTATAAGTCTTCTTTTTGTTTTTCGTAATTTATTTGGAAATAATTTAGAAACTTATCGTAATTGTGTTTTGATCTATATGTGATGTAAATAAACATTTTTTTTTAATTTTTACTATACCAAGGCATAGTATAATGCCCCATGATATGAGTACGTTTATTGTTTTTTGTGTTATCATTTAAACTTTAAACAAAAACGAAAAGAAAACTACCTTTATAAATTTATAGATTATGAACAAAAAATAATTAAATATAAACTATATAACTAAAGTTCGGTAGTAAGTTCGTCTTGTGGCCGCCTAGTCATCTCGAAAAGCTCGTCTTCAAGCCAAACGCTTTCTCGCCTCACAATAGGTCTTCTTTCCCAAGGATCTGACAGCACTATCGTTTCTCTCTCTCTTTCAATTTGAGTGTAACTCGGAGGTCTCCCTACGTCACTCCATTCACACTGGCTCTCTAGCTCTTTGTCTATGTTGCTGTCGTAAGATGTAGGCGAATACGAAGGCGGTTTGAATGTTGAGAACGACTGTTGTGTTCCTTCTGAATCGGATCCGTGACTCGCGGGAGTATCGATGATATTAACAAGTTGACTCTCTTGTTGTAATTGAGTGACGGCTGTTCGGTTGTATCGTTTCAATATTCTGGAAATATATTAATAAAAGTTTATTCGCAATGGCCACTCATAGGATGGATGTCCACAAAAGTATCAAGTTCTCTGTTTCTTCAGAAGAATTCAGAAGGAACGTTAAGCCATTGGTCACGGCTGCGTCTGCAGTCATAAACACCCACCAACTCGCCCTGTAATGAACCCACCCAGGGTTGTGATGTGATCCGTACTACTTCGCAGGATTAAGCATTTTGCGGGGATCTCGTTGGGAATCTCCGGGACCTAATAGATAAGGCCTATTTAGTGTTAGGCCTGATTAAACAAATGACATGTATTACATACAGTGGCGTAACTATACCGTTAGAGGCCCGTGGCAAATTCATCGGATATTCTATATTTTTTTACTAATTGTATAACAAATTTCAGGAGTAAAGATTCTCCTATGACCAGAGGCTTCCAGCAGGAGGCCAGTGGCATTTTGCCAACTCGTGTAGTTACACCACTGATTACATACCTATATGTAAATGAGTACATATCGTTTGATTGTTAAAAAAAATAAAAAGTTTTTTTATGTAGGTTATTTCTATTAAAATGTTACGTAAATATAAATAAATTTCAATATTAAACTTTTGTAATCCGAATATCTATCGAATGAGCAAACAGGTCGTAGTCTACATGTCGGCGAAAGTTTTTAAATATCAAAATGTTTTTATTGAAATTTTGTGAAAATAACTCCGAGACTTTAATTTCCAATTTTGCCGTTAATTACAAAGTTAAATTGGTTTTTAGGGAATGTATTTATATTCGAGCGAATAAATAGGTTGGAATTTCCCATTATATACCTTTCAGCCCAAGTAGCTAGCCGTGGCCATTCTTCTGGTACGACTGGTACGTGTTGTTTGTTGAGTAAGATGAGTAACTTCGCCAGATCACTTAGAACACAACTGGAAGTAAAAAAATAAAGTTACATAAGAGATGAAGAGATTTCTATGTTTAGCTAAGCAACTAAATTATATACAGAATGCTTCAATTGTTTGTCATTCCAAGCAAGTCGTAAAAATCAAACGAGGGAATACGTTGCAACATGATGGGTATCCATACTGTTAATATTTTGCTGCTATGTATATATCTACACTAGTAGTAAGCTCTTCTCTACAGTGGTCTGTGATTTGCGAAGGTTCCTCGAGAGTGCGCGTATAGAAAATTCATTAACTTGTTTTTATGCAAATAACGTCAAAATAAGCTATCATTAAAGTGAGAAAACCACATGAGATCTCTAAAAGTAATATAAAAATGAAGTACACAGTGACTCACATATTTATAAAGTTTTATTTTAGAAATGTGTAGGTTATTAAAACAAGCAGATAATGGAAAAACTGATAATTAAAGTAACTTTGCGGTTCACTTCAGGTTTGTCGAATGCGAGTGCGACTTCAATTTTTAAGAGTGTAATAGAAATAGGTACATCTTCTTTGAAAATTTCAATTGTGTAGCTACCAGGGCTTTAAGTCGTCCGTCAATAGGCTGTAGCTCATGAGCTACAGCCTATTGACGGACAGACAACGGAGTCTTAGTAATAGGGTCCCGTTTTTACCCTTTGGGTACGAAAACCTAAAAATGGCTTTACCTTGTGTATTAGAGTATTATTAGTCCATGCATGATACAGATATGTTCATCAATTAACACAAAATAATTAAAAGCCCTCCCTTAATATAGATAGAGATTGTGTTTAATTCTATGATAGGTAATTGCTTTGATGTAATTTGGGCTATATCTAATTACCTGTATGCCATAGCGGCGTCGTTGTTCCCAAGTTGGTATAGTTCTCTCACTTGATTCCGTGTATGGTTCAGTATTGCTAGCAATGTGTAAGCGTGTGGCTGAAAAATAGAAAACATAATATGAAGATTATATGCAAAGTTTTTATATTTTTATACTTATTCAGGTAAAAGTGTTTTCGTAGTTAAGAGATAAAATGAGCGATTTTACAAAAAAAAAGTCATACACTAAAAACCGTTTATTTTCTAAAATATTAGGTTTTTACATTATGAAATTGGCGTTTTGTCGTACTGGCCACTTTAATCACAAATTTCTCCTCCTTGGTTGGGAATTCCAAATTCAAATTTATACATGTATTTGTGTTTAGGCGGCATTCATTTGTTTTTTTTCTTCTGTTTGTCCTATTTACGTCACCCAGTATAAAACATGGAAAACTTGAAATATCGTGTTATTTACAAGTTCCACCGTGATACCAGTGCTGCGGAAACGGCTCCAGAACAAGCCTCGTGGACGGCCGGAGACCAAAGTTAATAATAAAGAATTGAAGGTTATTGTGGAAGCGGATCCATCACAAGCCACGTCCGAGTTAGCTGCAGGCTGCGGTATTAGTGATAAAACTGTTTTAATCCACTTGAAGCAAATTGGAAAGATTAAAAAGCTTGAAAGGTGGGTACCTCACGAATTAAGTGAAGCAAACCGGCAAACGCGCTTCGACTGCTGCGTTACATTACTCGGCACAATAATGAAGGGTTTTTCTTGTACGCATCATTACCTGTGATGAAAAGTGGATTCTCTACGATAATCGGAAGCGCTCATCGCAATGGTTGGACCCTGTCATGCCAGCCAAATCCTGCCCGAAGCGAAAATTGACCCCAAAAAAGTTACTTGTGAGCGTTTGATGGACTAGTGCCGGTGTCGTTCATTACAGTATTTTTCAAATCTGGCCAGACGATTACGGCAGACGTCTATTGTCAGCAATTGCAAACCATGCTAGAAAAACTAGCTGTTAAACAACCGAGGCTGGTCAATCGCTCTAAGTCACTGCTACTTCACGACAACGCTAGACCACATACTGCACAACAAACGGCTACCAAATTAGAAGTGCTTCAATTGGAATATCTAAGACATCCACCGTACTCCCCGGACTGTGCTCCAACAGATTACCATTTTTTTCGAAATTTGGATAACTTCTTGCAAGGGAAAAAAATCAACTCCGATAGGGCAGTGCAAATCGCCTTCAAAGATTTTATTGATTCCCGTCCGAATGGTTTTTTTAGTAAGAGGATCAATGAACTACTTATGAGATGGCAAAAGTGCATAGATAACAATGGTGTATATTTCGATTAAATAAATGTATTATATTAAAAAGTATTCGGCTTTTTGTTCCTCCCATACCAAACACCAATTTCATATGTAAGGACCTTATATTAAAATTCTTTTGAACTAGCGAAGATGCTAAAATGAATTTTACAGTTACAACAGATATGGCAGCAATATAGAATTTTGAATGCACAAAACTGATTTTATATTCTGAGCAACCTTTTTTAAGTAACTTGAAGTCTTGTGAGTACCTTACCTACTAAGAATAGTATTTAAATCTCCGAGAATTCAATTTTTTTAAAGAGTAAATCTAATAGTAAATGAAATTTTACAACAGAATCAGATTGTTTAATAATTTACTAGAAATTACATATTATTCTAAATAGGGATTTCAAATTTCATCAAGTCAAAGAAGTCGTTTGATTAAATCAGGTCACACAATTTAGTTCAGTTCTACACTTATTCCAACATTTCACAGCAGGACTTGTGTTGTTCAATTTTGTAATGTCACCATTTCACAAAAATGTAAACAGCTTCTCAAATAAGGTTGCTAATGACTTCGTTATTCGGATGGAACGAGACACTTAAGCCCAGTTGTGTCATAATGAAAGGCAAATGTGAATATTGTTGAGAATGTAGCTATACAAAAACATAGGTACAGTCGAGGAAATTAGTATTTTTCTTTATACAGTTCTCGCAGAATGAGAAATATTTTTAGGAATTGTGGATATTCAATTCAACACAATGATAAATGTCTAAAAGTGGCAGACGAAGAACTTCCTCTATTCCTACCTAACTGTATGTGGTATATTTTGGCTGACTCGATAGCCTAAGTTTTTTAAAGTAAATTATTATCGGCAATATATTTAGAAATGTCCTCTTTTGGGATAATGTTGTTATTACAAATATAGTTTAGGCATAATTAATTTGAATATTTGTTAGTTTTATTTGCATAATATGAAAGAACCAATCAATCAATTAGTTTGATAAAGATGGAACTGAACTGGTAAGCAGCACATTAATTATATGTTTTAGGAAATTTTCTGAAATTGGTTATGTAATCATTCCTTATGGTTTTTCTGCTACAGATAAAAATGGGAGCCTGTTATTTATTATATAGGTATATAATCAAAGGTGACAAAAATAATACTTTAAGTCAATTACAGGTGATTTCCGTCGTATTCTATTAGAATAATAATTGTATAATTTGTGCATCATATAGTAGAGGATTGCATCAGTTGCGTACGTGATTGCTAACTAGGTAAATGAGATCCAAAGATAATTTCCAAGGTGTTTCCGCTATAGTCTTTGTTGTAGTTATTTAATATTTTAATTCTATTTTATTTAAGTAATTATTATTTATTTATTCTAGCTTTTATAAAAATGGGTCTGTGAAAAAAAGTGAATAAGAAAGTAAACATTCTGTACCTACTAACTTCAGAAGAAATCACCTAAAAAGAAGAGCCGAGAAAACAAACAAAAGATTACACCTAAGTTAGTATTATGACATTATTTAAATTTATATTGGTAGCAATTCTGTTGTACAAACTAGACTAAATTTTGGTTTAGTCCTGTCAAATTGCGTTTTAAATTGTGAAAGCAACCAAGAGAATAGAACATGTTTGATCAAATATAAATCTTTATTACAAACCTTTTGCTTACTTTAGAGCAAACCCAAATTAAAGTTACATTTGTTTTATTTTAGAAAGTATTACAACAGATTTGGCACTTTTGTTCTCAGAAAAATAATAACAGAAGACGAAAATGCAATTGAGTACGGTTGAAATAGGGTATAGTTGAGACAACGCTTGTAATATTTAAAATATTAGATGACAAGAATTCTAAGAGAGAATGCATTTCTGCACTTGTCTTATAGGTATATATTTATATGCTCACAGTCTAGTTCAAAAAAGACAGCATGTAGATAAGTTGCACTTACTCTTAAACAGTCAAGCTGTTTATGGAATTCCCTGAGATGGGTATCATCGTCGTGCCTCGGCCGTTGCGGCAGCGGTTGAGCTTGTGCCCGTGCGCTGGATCTACACCGAGCATACGCAGCACCCGCTGCTATTAGTGCTATACAAGCCACAGCACCGCATGTACCACCGACAAGTATCTGTTGGCATAATCGATAATAGTTTTTATTATTATTGTAATATATACTATATTGGTAATAACATGATTGAGGTAAGTGTCGTTACTTTTTCTAAAGAGCAGGGCAATGCAGTCTCGATATTGGTGGCGATCGTTCTTCTTCTTCTTTTATTAACGGCTTATCTGCGCGTTTTGCACAATTTTGTCAATGTCAAGTGATTAAATTAAAATAAATTAAGTGCTACATGTAAAATGAAAATGTAATGAATGAAAGATGGCGGTCAGGGTCACCCGTGGCGATCTCAGAGTTCATTGACTGAGCTGTCAAATTCGATCATTAGGGATCTAACGAATATCGCTAATATGACAGTTGCACTCGGTTCCTGCATAGCAAATAACGATATACCAAACTCTAGGGACTTGCTATGAGACGTGCGATCACAAACTCTGTCGTTATGAAAATAATTAAAAAATCACTGAAAAACTTCTGCAAAACTTGGTAATTACGAGTATGACCAACGAACATTTAATATTTTTTGCACCGTTTGCAAAGATTAATTTTTAAATTAATTGACGATGTCTAAACAAATGGCCGGTGTTTCCAAAGAAAACTTAATGCAAGATGCTAAGATTAGATTGACTTTTATATTTACTGATTCAAACATAAAAAAAGGTATTTTAAAAGTAATTTTGCAAGAAGGTTGTATTAGTGTTGTTATCTATGTATTACTGACTGCACATCACTGCTCAAGGCTTTTATTATTGCGATAATGATACATTGATATACCATTATGCAATAAACAGACAAATCCGAATAAAAGTTGGTTTTATCTGTATTTTATTATTAAATATTGTGCAATCCCGAACATACATTCCTTAGATTAACGATATTTAATGATACCAGTTGCTTCATCAAAGCAATCTTGTATTGCGTTGCTACATTAGTAAGTTTTTGAAAGAGTGTCTGAATGTTGTTAAAATTTCTTGATTACTGAGAGATTATAGCTTTTGGTTCCGGCTGGGTGTATTTGATTATTTCAAGTTAATCCCGTGAAGAATGGAATGCTTTGCAATTCACTAAGAAAGTGAACAGTAGCCTAAAATTTACTAAATATGGGTTACCTCTCTACTAAATTTTGACCCAAAGAATAAAAACTTCACGTAACAGAAATGAAATTCGGAGTGGTGTTTTATATGTTCAACCTATGTCCTACAGACTTTGAAAGTTGTATTTACTATTGTGATAATACATATTATTTTGGTAATGACATGATTTATGTAAATGTCATTACTTATGATAAAAAGCTGGTAAGTTTCTTTCGCTTGTTCTTCTTGTCAGCTAAAAGACGTCCTGAAGAAGTGGTAGGGGAAAAATTTTTTTTGGACGATTCAAAAGCGTAATAGCCTACTTGAATAAAGATATTTTCATTTCAGTTACATTTAAATATACGACCAGAAGTGAGCATATTCGTTGTACATTGAACTGTGACTCGTTTGGTCATTTTACGTTGCGAGCTTGTAGCATAAGACGAGCAAATACGTCATGGACATTGAATAACTATTTGGGGCTTAGTATGTGAGCACTATAAGAAACGATTTAAAGAAGTAGGAAATGGTACAGATGTGCATAAAGTGGTGAAGGAATACTATACAAAAGACATGAAAAATAAGACTACGGAAAAAGCATAAGAAAAATTAATGAAAATTGACATACTTCGTTGTATGTTTGGGCCGGGTAGCAGACACGGCCCATGAGTCGATCATCGTGTGCCCAAGATTCGCGGGTTCCGGCAGGGCATGTGTGTGTGCACGTGCCTTCTGGCCATACCAGCAGTCTGGTGCACTTCACGCAGCCGTCTGCCGCGCACCGTATACATTCTGCACCGCATCCTGTGAAGAAGACGTTGTTATTAGCTGTATTATACTATGCCATTATGTATCGTCACAATGGTAAAACAAAAACAAAATCGATCTTTTTGATTAGGGTTTTATTAAAAAAAACTTATTTTATTAATCTTAGTGATATTTTAAGTTTGATATGAATCACGCGAAATAAAGGCGGTCTTTTGTTTTCTTCAGTATATTATTAGTACCTATGCAATAAAAGTACTTTTGGTAATTGGCAGAAAGCTACCAGTAACAAAATAAAAACCAAATTGCTAATTTGATTTCGATATTTTTTTAAACTTATTTTGAAAATCGGTCTTCGATACGCATAGAAATTGGTAAACATACATAACCGTTGAACATAGAGCCTCCTCCTCCTTTTCGATTTCGAAGACAGATAAAAAGGTTGTGTAATTTGGCAATTTTGGGACTATTTTGTTATAATTTGTCACTGAATTTTACACCACTTACTGGATTAGTTTACCTATTGAAATGGACATCTTATTCTTATGTCTTGTTCTTGTTATCTCATATAGAATATACTCCTAATTAATATAAATTTCAAAAAATATATTTTGTAGTGAAATAATTTGATCTTAGTAAGCAGTTTCTTACGTCATTGGTAAGGCTGCCATGTTAGTAGTATTGTTCATATAAGATACCGAATTTTCAATCCTTAAATGGATAAACTAACTACACGTATTACGTATCTGTTTCATTTTTTTGTTAATTTTATTTCTTAATATGTATGAGTATTTCGTATTCAGATTATTTTTGGTTATTATCTTATTCTCAAATACCATAACACTGTATTATATTATTTTAAAGTTATAATTCTGATATTAAAATGTTTATAATCATATCTTCTAAAAGGTTAAAATGTATTTTTTATTCTTATATACAGATAAGTACAGCAAAGTATGTAACAATAATTTTAAAAAGTTACATAACATTACTTTATAATAATAAAGTAAGGTTATGTAACTTTTCAAAATTATTGCCTAAAACAGTAAATGACTTTTCAATAAAACCAGCAGGTACCCAAAGCTATAATGAGTGTCTTATGCACAAATTAATCGTAACTCAACGAACCGTTTAATATTCCAGTAACGCAACTTCAATCAAGTATTACTTACGTAGGTAATTTAATATCCAAGTAGGAATTTCTATGCTAATGCACTGTTTGGGCGTAATGTATGCGGCGTGGTCGCGGAATCATTCGATTACACATAATGTGACTAGTGAGAACGTAGAATTTCACCACAACGTCACTACTGAGATGAAAGTGTATTGAAAAAGGTTTTAAATAATATGCTTCTTCTATGTTGAATGGTATATAGGCCGCAAAAATGTTAAGCGTTTTTTAGAAGCTTGTGCTGGTTGAACTACGTAAAAGTAGTTTTAATGTTCAATTTGGAACAGTGCTGCAGAACTTTTTAAATTCTTAAATATAAAGTTCTGAATAATTCTTTACATTATATGACAGCACAACTGTACTAACGTATCTATATTTAAAAACTCCGTTAATAAATAATTTAATAACAACAATATAAACGATTTACACAATGATAGCTATTCCCAATTTCTAATTCCAAGTTGTTTTTCCATTACTTATTTTTTTTTTACTTTCTTGACAATTATTTTAAAAATAGTTAGCGTTTGTTTGTAGTATACAAAATGGTGTTGAGTGTCTATTCAATTGAAGCTGGAATATCTAGCCCGGAATAATACTGTTGGTAGGGAAATGGTTTCATATTTCATGTCACGAGGGACGACAATTGATCCCATACTAAATACCTATATGAAACTAATTCTCTAGCCTGAAATAGATGAAATCAGCCTGAAATTCCGACCAGTGGTATTATTTAGTCTTATATTATTTAATTACCTTAGTTAACAATTAAAACTTTTTTCATTTCTCTTGCTCAGGAAGCCCCGTCATTTAGCGTTCACTTAAACTTCAAAGGAGATATTTTTTAACAGTGTATACTCAAAAAATATCGTTTTGTCATCTAGTTTTCATAATTTAAAAATATAGTCGTCATATAAAACCAAATATAATTATATTAAAACCAAATATTATTAATAATTATATTTGGTTTTATTACCAGACCAAGTGCCAGTAATAATTATTTTATATCCACAAAGAGAAGTTAATTAAATGCCTACTAAACGATATGATACGGTTCCATCTGACTAGTTTTATGTGACATAAATCTGAACGCCTGTGTATATAGCTGGAAAATAATAATTTTTCCGACATATTTGAACGGGGTCGTGGGTTAAGAGACTTCCCTCAGTCATAAGGGATTTAGATACAATAACGTCATGCGGGTTCTTTGTGTAAAGCCTTATTGATTGACGCTATAAGGCCTTACGTAGCTAGTGATAATTAATCTATGTCCGTAGTATCTAACTAAACGGAAATTTGTGAAACAACATTTTTATTGCCTTAGTTTGTAGCCTTTTTATGTTATTACATAAAAAGGCTAGTTGATACAAGATATTCATTATATCGATGATATTTATATATATTTATGATATTTATAAGATATTTATATATCGATGTACAACCGAATAAAACCTGGTATAGGTATGTAAAAACATTCGTAAGAATTGACTCGAACTTTTAATAATTTTACACCCATAGTATAAGCATGGCCTGGATAGTTTAAGCAGTGCAGTCTAGCCTGCTATGCTATTCTATAACAATACAAAGGTTTTGAGGACAAATAGAATAGGCCCTCGCCTATTAATTATGTTCTCAAAAGAAATTTCCGAAAATATTGGAAGCATTCTTATAATCTTGCTAAAATGATATGTAAAGATTATCTGTTCATCAGACGCAGTGACAGGTTCTACATTTGTTGCAATATAAATTATTAAAAATGCGTTTCTTTGGAGTCGTATTTTTTTTTCAATAATTACGAAATTTTATTTTATTACGGCGAATTAGAATAGGCCTTCAGTTGTCATGGTAATGCGTACGAGTAAATCTTGATTAACCTTTTGAATTAGGTTTTATTTGAATTGTTGTATTCGAGGTTGTTTTGTTTTAGAATAGCAAAGCAGGTTTACTTAGTTGCTTATGTATGAATAAATACAGAGGTTTAAACTACTCGAAAAATACAACCGATTCCTGAATTTTATTATAACTTCTCTATAACACAATATGTTATATGAGTATTATCTGGGCAAATAGAAGTAAAAAATAATAAATCATTTAATTTTTACTAATATATTAGTGATATATTACGTATTTTAAAGGCAGTTAAGTATTTCTAGTTTAAAAAAAATAAAATATTCTAACATTCGAAAGAAAACAAACCTGTTTTCCTGTTTTATAGAAAGTAGGTGTAATTAATCTCGATACTTGATTTGCTGTTACAATGATGGCTTTGAAATTGGAGTTAAAGCAAATCAACACTGACTTGAAGTAAAGCTTTGATACTTTCCAAAGGGAAAGTGCGAGCAATATGCGATTACAGGCGACTCTCAATTAACGGGACCGGTCTATAGAATGGTCTATTCTTATCAAGGTTGTCGTAGATTATACCGTTAACAGGTATATGTTCCGGGATCGTAACAGCTCTTGGATATTCAAAGGCTAGAAGCTTATGTAAATCTTCATTAAGTTGCATTGATACTCAAAGTTGCATAAGGTTATCATCACATGTAGAAAGTTGTTTTGGTTCGATTTTAAGAGAATAGTTTGACGTTATTAAAAAATATGGCGATGATATAGAATTATCGGATAGATTTAGAATGTACAAAAGAAAATTCAAAACTAATTTATAGACGTTTTTTAAGTTTCTTTTTAAAAAGCATTATTACATGTCACTATTTATTTTTTTAACAATTATAGTACGAAGTAGGTAGTATAACAAAGTATATATATAATTAAAATAGCTTTTATATAGAGCAGTGATGAATGTGAGCATTATGATCTGCTAGTTTTCCAGTGACTCCACCTATGTTGTCCCTATAAACATAACCTAATGATAATTCATGCTTTGAATTAGCTGTAAACCAAATTTCATCCTAATCCGTCAAGTAGTTTTTGCGTGAAAGAGTAACAGTGAAGGTTGCGAAATTTTTATTGTTTTTTTATATATTCAAGTCTAAGCAATGATGACTTTAAACGTTGGATAATAACATAAATTTCCATCATAATCACTATACCTTTAAGACAATTAAATCTTTAGTTCTTTGTTACAGATATACTGTTAAATTTACACTATTGTTGTTCGATTCAATAATATTATGGGACGTAGGCAGCCCTGATAATTTGTCACGTAAGTGAACATTTTATATTCTCTGAGAGTTTTCCACGGTCCGATGTGTCTTTTATAAAGTGCCATTAGGGCACTAGTTGACAGAGTGGTTCGTGGGTAACGTTTGAAGAAGAAAAATTTTTGAAACTATTCGGTGTGATGTATGGTAAGGAGTGAAGTGATGGCAGGAAGTTTAAAGAGTAAGAGTAAGTTGTTATAGACTTTTGGTTATATCTACACTTTTAATTAATTAATTTATATTAGTAAAAAGGGAGCTTGTAAAAAGTTTAAACACTTTAAGTAAACTAACATTTACGCATATCTAGTATAGTGAATGCGGAATTTGCAATAAAGAAATTTGATTGTTTTTTTTCTTTGTATGAAATAGGATCCGAAACTACTGGACAATTTACTTATACAAAAATTCTTTCGTCTACGGAAAGTCACATCATACGCGGGTGAAGTCATGAAGCAGCATCATAGAAACTACAAACGTAAATTGGTACAAACATTTATTTATTTAACACTTTATTACAGAACACAGAAAATTTTAGCAGCCAACAAAATAATATAATAGATGTAGTACAGAAAATGCGTATGCGAAAAAACGTAAAAAGGAAATGTAAAAATACATTGATAAAAAAATTGAAGCTCATATTCAATTAGAGATCCACGTCCCATTTTAGATTAAGCTAAAACTTTGTATAACTTATAAACTGGATAGGAATG